TTTTGTGTTTGTGTTTGTGTGTACTTTGACTTTAGTTTAAATTTCTAGTAATTACTGTAGATGAAAACATAACAGTGAGCCATTTACTTTGAAAATTATTGAGCAACAATCCAAGCAGTAAGCCAACAATCCTAATAGTAAGCCAACAACGATGACGATATAAAGTCGGGCTCTCGAATTTTCTCGGAGCTTCATAATCATCACAGCGTCAGAATTTTGGTTTGATTTCCTATTACAAATCCACTGCCTTCTATCTTGAGCTTCTAACGTTTCGATCTGTGAGATTATCGTTGTTGTATTGATTTTCTATTGCTCATTTGTTCACTGCTTTGGGCACTCATCTCCTCACGATCTTATTGTGGGAGATACTAGACAATAGGTGGATCTGGGACTGTGAATTTCTTTCTTCTCGCCTGTTTGCGAAGCGAAAACTCCTGATGATCAAGTTTTCTTCGTTGTGCACAATTTTTCCAGCTTAGCCTATCTCTGTAAATTCTCATTGTAAGGGTGTGTCTCGATAAAACTATTGTTGCCACTGTGAAGCTACTTGATCGGACATATTAACAAAAATTACTGCTGTTTTTCCATCATTGAGACTGTATTTTCTCGAGAATTTTCTTAATGCATCAAGACTTTGTCAACATTCTTTAGCTTCTAACATTCTTAGTTATGCTCGCGTCTTTCCCGTATTCTTTCTCCTGATCGATTTCCTCTTTTTCATAGCTTTCTTCCGACGATCGCACTGGAGCGATGACTCACTTCGACGAATTCAAGGACGCCTACGATGACTCGGAGAGAATCTAAAGGTTCCACGCCTTCACTCAACAAGACACATTTTTAAGAACACAATTGATTTGGCAAAAATATTTTTATTATGCTGAAATTCGACATTTTTAGGAGGGAATTTTGATAAGTAACGAAAAATCGATAATTAGTTGTCAATTTGGGTCGATGTACACGTGACGATGTGCTTTTGGAGTTACGTCGGCTTTCTTGACTCCTCGGCCTTCTGCTATTATTGGACATCGGCGCTGGATCCGGATCCATCGGACTGACACGGTTCGGTTTCGGTGTGACAGCTATTCTATATTGACAGCGATTCTGTAACGACGTCACGTTCGTTTTTCTGTCAAATTTCAAATATTCCACTCATTAAAAGTGCATCCGCTCTGCTGGAGCTACAGTTCGTACGCTTTGATCTTTTTCTTGTCAGCGACGTCTCCAGCTATTCTCTTCTCTCCACACTATGAGCTTTCTTGGAGCTACATTCCACGTCTTGGTACTTCCTCCAGCCTTCTGTGGCTACTCGATTTTGACTCCTTGATCTTTTCCTTTTCCATCGTGTCGATGTTGTGTAGCTACCCGAATTTTCCCGATCTGGAAATTTCTATATTTATTTTGAGGCGATAGGTGTGTCTAACTAAGAGACGGAGAGAATTTTCACCATTTTCAGATAATGGCGGTCATTTTCTGATTTTCAGCAAGATTTTAAGGGTATTTATCAATAGATAATTTACTAGGGACATTGCAAGGCACATACAAAAAATTACCATCGCTTAGCCATCGTTTATCGATTTTCGATTTTATTTTCGAAAATAATTTTTCTTCAAGAATTTCAGATATTTTCTTTATGAATTGTTGGTTCCGAATCAGCATTGAGTATAAAAATTCAATTCTGAGCGAAAGAAAACGATTTTTTGGACTGGAAGATATTTTTGGAAAATTTTCGTAGTGCAAAATTTTCGGCGACTCCGTTTTTGGGTCAAATTCTTGGTCTTCGAACATTTTGGGACTAGAAACTGAACTTTTCAAGTATAATACTTAGCCACGCGTTCACGCAGCTGGCGAAATGCCATGAAAACTTCGAATTTTGGAAATTTTTAGGCCAAACGACCATTTTTAGGCCATTTGGACCTTTTTCGAACTAAATAGTCAAATATTCTTGGGATTTTCAGTCAAATTTTATCACAAATTGATAAAGACTTACTTGAATAAATTTTTTGTCGATCGACTCGTCCAAATTTCCAGCGAAATCGGTCGAATTGGGTGAAATTGGAAAAAATTTCTGAATGAGAGAGTACACTCTCTCGCCGTCCGCAACTGCGCGTCGCAGTGTTTACACCCAATGCGCATTTCTCAGCGCGCACCGTATTCAGAGGCAAATTTGTCTTGACGGGGTTCAGTGATTATTTTTGATCGATTTGGACGGATTTTCGTGATAAAAATCAACAGAAATCCAAGGAGAAACACACATATAGTATGCTTTGCAGATTTTAGGGTTTTATCAACACATCTGCTCTCCTCCGGCTCATAATTATGGCCTTTTTACAGTTTCAACGGTTTCAAAACGAATTCTGACCAGAATCTGGCTGAATTCTGACGAATATACGTCTTCTCGCTATTTACAGACCACGGTGTGGACCCGATCAATTATTCCGATGTTTTTGGCGAGATTTTATTCGGATTTTTATCGAATTTCCGTAGTAATTCATCGTCAGGCTTATGATTACAGCCTTTTAGTGTTTCGACAGTGTCAAATTTTACGAATTCTCACCACTATTTGGTAGAATTCTGACGATTTTTTGTTATCTCGAATATTTACAGACCACGATGTGGACCTGATCGGAATATTTGTTACAGAATTTCAGTAGAAAATCATAGAATTTTAGTCAAAGAAAATCATAGAATTTTAGTCAAAGTATCATTGATTTATTAGAGAGAAAAGGATGGGGCCAAGACAAACGGTAAAGACAATCAAAGGGGAAATACCAGCAAGAACAGAAAAAGGGGGAATAATGGTGTAGGGCTAAAACCTGACGGCGGAGCCGCCAGGAAACCTTGCGGACCCACGAAACTGGAGCTGGTCAAACCTCTGATAGCCAAACGTACAAAAAGGGGGAAAATCTGGAAATAAAATTGCCTAAAAAGTCCTTGGAGCTACCGGCGGCAAAGCGGTGCCTCATTATTGAATGTTCACTATATTGGGAGCGTAATAAAATTAAAGGGGAATTAATAAAAAACTTTTCTAGAAATTTCGAAATTTCGCGCCCCTGTAGAAGTTGAACTTGTGGGTCCACAATTGAAGGTGCCACGTCGCTACCAGCTAGATTTCTGTATGGGGGACCATTGTCATATTGAGAAGCGGCATGATGGCCACGCTGTGTGGCTACTGTAAATCATCAAGTCAAAATGCATACGGTAACCTCAAAGGAAAATCCCAAAAATCTTTGGCCTACCCTCCTTTAAGTTCAGCAACTTTACTCTTTTTGTGTATTTTTGGACAAATACAACTTTAAACTTTGACTGAATTTATTATGTTTTCTGTGAAAATTATCACAAAGTGATCAAGTGACAAAAAATTTTCAATATTATGTTAAATACTTTGTCAGTTGACCACTTTTTGATATTTCTTACAGGAAATGAGATGTATCGGCTTTATATTGACGGTTTGGGAAGCGTTCTATCAGAATGTTTACGATAAGCGAGAATCTCTTCCCACTTTTGATTCAATCTCGAATTTCGTCCTCGCATTTATTTGTACCCGTCACATCCATCCACTTTTTTGTTTTAATCCAAATGAGATTTTAAAAAATCGTTCCTGTCCCGCAAACGGCTCTATTTCTTGCGTTTTCTACTTCCTTTTTTATCCATCTTCTCTTATGAAGAAAGAAGAAAAGAGTGTCCGGATGAAGATCAACCAGAGCCTCCATTAGAGATTAAAACGGAAGACGTAGACGACACGAGAAACACACGAGCACCGGAGAAGCGCGGCTCTGGGCGAAGCGGCGGGGCCTTGGATACTCCCCGTGCTGGGAGAGTCGGTGTTGTGAGAGAAGAGCTGGTGTTGGCCAGATTTAGAAAACAAGCACCACAGCGCCTGACGCGTTCTCTCTCAAAAGAGCAGCTGGTTTTCTCACCGCATTTGGAACGAGAGAAGAGAGAACCCCTTATTTTCGAAGCAGATGCGAATCGATTTTTTTTAATTCGAGGTCTTGCGTTTTTTGATGGACATCCCGGATTTTTTTTCTAAATTTTCGTTAGATGATCTCACCTACTGTTTCTACATTCCCGCATTATACCTTAAATGCTCCACCCACCCTCAACGTGCACGTTGAACTGAATTATCTCAGTTCCTCCATAAGATATCAAAATTTTGTCAATTGGTAAAATGTTGGTCATTCCACGAACAACATTTTATAAACTGCACATTTTTGATAACTTTTGAGGGAACCTAGGTAATTGAGCTCAAAGTGCATTTATATTAGTCTGATCGAAACTAACACTATACGTGCACTTTGAGCTCGATTATCTTATTTCCTTTAAAAGATTATAAAAATTTATCAACAAATAAAATGTTGGTATTTTAACGATGAACACTTTTTCAGTTGACAAATTTTCGATAGTTTTTAAAGGAACCGAGATAATAGAACTCAAAGTGATCGAAGCCCTCCCTACACATAAACTTTGAGCTTCATTATCTCAATTCCGCTGACATTGTGAGGGATATTAAGAATCTGTCAACTGGTAAAATATTTGTGATGTTATCTTCCTTTATAATAAAACGCTAGAGGCGTCTGTCCGTCCTCGTGTCCGTCTGTGGACTTTTGAAAAAATTGAAAAATACATATATATTCACGTGACCCTTTCATTTAGAAAAAGTGAGAAACGAAGCGACGAACATTTGAAAAAAAATAGATTGAATCGCGCCGAAGGCGCACCAGCTTGCTGGTGAAAAATAATTGATCAGTTGACAAAGTTTTGATAACTATTGATGGAACCGAGATAATTGAGCTCAAAGTGCACCTGTAGGGTGGCTTTCTATTAGAGCATTTACTGCATTTACCGACTAAGGAACCGCAGACAACAATTCTCAAAAATCGAAAAATCAGAAGCCTGGTCCTCCAAAATCTAAAATTCCATGTCTCATTAAATCTCTTGTATATCCTCTTTCCCTGTTCATAATAACTTCCATTCAAAAACTACAAAATTTCAGGTAAAAAATGCTCACCGACTCAGAAATTATGCGCGTATGGAAATCTGTATGGCCTACATATGACGTCACTACGGTAGAAAATTCATTAGACAATCTTATTAGTTTTTTGTATCTATAAAGTCTTCCAGTTGGATCCGGACACTCAAAAAGTGATCGTGGAAGTGGTTAGCAATGAAGTTAGCCAATCCATGGGATGCATACTCAACAAGAAAACTGAAATCATCAAAATGGCAAATGAAGACGTTAAACTGGAGCTGGATGGTTTAAATAATTATGCTATCACACTTCTAAAAATGTTGTTTCCAGTTAACCCAAATAACTACCCGCTTCTTTATGTGAGTCAAAAGGTTTTCTTTTCCTATATTCAATTTTCTACTATTTCAGAGACCCGACGTGAACTTCAATAGAGCAAGGCGTATTGACGAACATGTGATGCGTCGAAACATTTATTTCAAGCATTTCGTTCAAATCATGAATATGACTTGGAGTTATCGCGCCCCATTCAGAGTGAGTGACTTATCAAATGGTCAATTTCCATATTCAATCTTTAAGAATGCCACCCATGAGGTTAGGGAATGGAGAAAACTCGTTTCTGAGATGAGTAAAATTGATCTGGGACTGAGACTGGTTCAATTCGACAGAGGTGACATCGAAGACACTAATGAGATACTGAAAGACGGGGTTATTGAAGCACACACCAAGTTTGGTGATTTGCTGAAAAATCAACCATGCGAATTTGACGATTTTGTCACCAGAACATATGTAAGAAGATATTGTTGTAGTTTTCAATTTTCTCCGTTTCCTTTTTTTCATGAATCTAGCGCATTTGCATTTTCAGGAAGACACAGTTAACATCACAAATCTGAGACTCCTAACTGCAAAATATTTGAAAGTATTCGTATCGGAGCAAGAAACCGCGTACGATGCAGCTACCGCTCAACACGAGTCACTTTTGAAAGTAGTGCATTCGGTGCGAGACCTAACAGACTTAGATAAACTTGGAAGGATTGTACTGCTAGAAGTGAGTTTGTCGGTTTGAATATTTGAATGATCAGCAAATTTTTTTCCAGCTGGACAACCTTGAAGCCAATAAAGAAAACCAGAGACCAGAACGTGGCTGATGAAGTATTAATTGGATTTCAATTAAAACTTCTCTGTCATCTTATCCTCACATATACAGTCATCACTCTAACAGAATGCGACTTAGCTTTTACCAAATATATCTCACTTCTTGTAAAAGATATCAAAAAATGGTCAACTGAAAAAACTTTCAATAGTATATTGAAAATATTTTGTTTGTTGACTAATTTTTGACATCGGTTCCAGAAAATGAAATATACGGGGTCAAAGTTAAGAGTTAGAAGTGGCGTTCTATTGGGTTCGTATCAAAGTTTACAGTATTAAACATTTTCCTAGTTAGCTTCCATGTTGGGTTATCTTACAGTTATCTTTTTAATTACATCTTCTACTTTTTCAATCTTTATGCCTTTTTCAATCTTTATGTTTAGTGTTACTGGAGATCTGGTAAACAATGGCAGCTTTGGACAGCGTTTTTCCAGGAAATTTCTCCTGGAAATCAACTTTGAACGCGGCATTAAGTTATTTCTCAACGATGTTATGTGTTCTTCTTCTCTCAAATTCTCTCTGTCTAAATCCTAATTTTCTATGGCCACTAATAATAATAAACTTGTACATACTGCGGTTGTTTTTTATTAAAGTATCGTTCCATACGCACTACCAGATAAGATAAAGACCACTTAAATATGCTATTCTGGAAATAAAAAATTTCGGAAAATTACAAATGTAGCAGATTAAAAGATAACTGCTGGAAAATTATTTATCCTTTTGTGTAAAATAATGATTTCATTGCCTCGTGGTTTGAGTTGAAACATTCCGTCATTACAATATACAGCCCCAAATTTGTATTCTTTGTTTTCATGTTTGTCTCGCGGTCAATGGATTACGGTAGGTTGTGCTCCTGGGAAGACACGAAGACACGCCTGAGAGAATAGTTACTGTGTTTGGGCAAAATAGTCTGTGAGATCGTTACCATTGAGATGAGGGGGGTTGTATCATTTTTAAAATTGAGAATATATGAATTAGCACGCCTCTGGTTTGGCTCAATGTTTGAAGCAATAAGCCGGTAAGACAATTTTTAATAGGGTTATTCAGGTAGCCAGCGAAAAAACTACAAATACTCGGAGATTGAAATTTGGGGTCAAAAGATATATTTTAAATATTTGGCTAGAGTTCCAACAGGTTCCCAGAAGAACCCCATAAAATTGTTAATTTATTTTTCAATTTGTACTTATTGGTCAGGAGTCAAATGATACAAATCTTTATTTCTTTTTTCTAGCTCCCAGTTTCTTATAGTTTTTCTTTCTTCTTCTTTTTTAAATCTCCAAATCCACTCCCCTCTTCTCTCTTCCCCACTCTCTCCCCCTATTATCTTGTCGAGGTCGTTTTTGCCCCAGAGCCATTCCCTTCCCTGGACTGTCTTCTCCTTTCTTTATGCAACTGGTGCACTCGATCCTCCTTCGTCACTCTTCATTCTTGCCTGCCTCGTTCTTCTGTCAACTGGTACTGGACTCTATTGTCACGCCCAATTCGCTAACTTCAAAATTTCCCAGAGGACCGTCCACTACATCCGATTGCGCAATCTTTGTTCTCAATTAACCAATAATTGGATTTTAATTTTTTTTTCAACAAACTTTTATTTAAAGTCTGGCTCAACATGTATCTTTTCCTCGAACTAGCTGATATCTTTCCCCAATTCCCTCAGGGATTTGCCTGCCTACTAATTCAAATCTTTGGTATTGCTTTGTTTATCGAAACCGCTTACGAATTGTTTGTTTAATTATTTTCCTGAAGTTACTCAACTTTTTTCTTCAAATCTCAAAATTCTTTATTTCAAACTTTTTAACGAAAAATTCATTTTTGTGATAAATGAAGTAAACTGAAATTTCAAACAGCGTTAGTATCTTTGTTTTGAAAATCGGTACATAAAATTTATCGATTTTTGCATCCTTGTATTAGTTTCATATTATTATTCTAACACCTGTCACGTCAAACTCTAGCACTCCTCGATTTCGCATAGTAAACCTTGCATAGAGACACTGATGAACCGGGCAGTCAAGGTCGTGCCCGCTGTTCTGTCTTGCCTCATTTCCGCGAGACAGTCCAACTGTTTCACGGGACCACCGCACACTGCGTTCTCTTTTTTTTTCTTGTCTGGTGTCGTCGTCGCCCTTCGCGTGTCTGTCTTCCTTTCACAAATATTATCCTAGGCACACATGAACCGCTTTCTTTTTTTTTCTCACCGTGTCTTGCTTTTCGAATTGCACCGTAACATTTTTAATTTTCAGATCTTTTAATGAGCCAACCGAAAAAGTCTTATTCGCACATCGAAGGTCGGATCTTTCTTGGTAACCTGCCTACAGACATCGATGAAGACTTGCTGAGAGATTTCTTCAAAACCAGCGGGGAAATCAAGTATATCGATGTCAAGAAGGGGAAAGCGGGCCGTCCAGGATATGGGTTCATGGAGTTTGTCAAACTTGAGTGAGTTTTTTTTGTTCGCTACACTTGATCAAAAATAGAGAGATTCTTCCAACCAGTAAAGGAGCTGAGGCAGCAAACAGCTTGGAAAATAGTGTGGGGAACAAGATCGCGCCGAGCTTATATTAGTAGCGATGTACTCCTGATCTGTGTTCTTCATGAGTTCAATACCTTATTGAAATTTCCTAGATAAAATATCTTTCGAAATTTTTTTGACGTTTGGCCTCCTTAAGTTCAAAACTGAATACAATGAAATAATTATGCAATCTTTTGCAGAGATGCCGAAAAAGCTGTAAAGACGCGCAACGGCTTTCCAATCTGTGATAAATTTATTCGGGTTGAGTTCTCGACAAGTGGTGGACCACGTGGTCCTGGTGGCATGGTTCTCCGTGAAGGAGAAATCAGTGAAGAATACAGTGTTGCACGTGGTCGTGGAGGTCCGCAGTTAAGATCCGTTCATCGCGTTTACGTCGACAATTGCCCACCGTCTACTACCTGGCAAGATATAAAAGATCTTTTCCGTGGAAAAAATGATCCTACTGGCATAGAAGTCTGTTTCTCCGCTATCAATCCAATTCAACGAAGAGCTTTTGTTGAATTTCGTTTGAAAGAAGATGTAGCCAAGGCAATACGCCTCTTCCACAACAAGCCTTACATAAACTATCGGGTATGTTATTTTCTTTACTACTCGAAGTATACTTTTATTTATGTTAACGAAATTCTTTTTCAGAACGAGGAAAGCGTATTATCAATTTATGAAGATCCAGGCAATGCAGCCTTAAACAAAGAAAACAACGTTCCAACCATCAGGATATCATCAGAAAACGAGAAGACATCAGAAAAAACTGGTCCGAACCCAGATGCAATTTCTTCGGAAGCAAGTCCATCGTCTTCTACTAGCGGGCGTTCAACATCTTCATCACCAGCGTACTCTTCCGATTCCGATAATGATGATACTCTAGCTGCATCTCCCTCAAAATCTCAAGAAATTCCGGAACACAGACCGACTATTTCATCCGCCACGTCTATACCGGAAGCACCGGAGCCCCTACCGCGAAGCTCAAAACGTTCTCGAACGCTATCGACACCTGCAGTTCCGACTGTGCTGAATCAAGGACCTCCAAAAGCCAAAAGACCCGCTCCGGACCATTCAGGCTTATCTGCAACAACCAACGAGTCTCCAAACGAAGAATCCACACCTTCAAATGCAGCAGTACCTGAGGAAACAGAGTCAACAGATGATGAGGAGTATTATGAGTTTTCCATACCACTAGATGTGTTTGATGAGGAAAACTTGCTGTTCAGATTCTGCTAGAAGAATAATAATAGCTGTTTAATTGATTACTCCAGGTTTAAAACTTCTCCCCGTTCCCGTTCTGTTTTTTTTTAAGCATCCACTCTTTCTTTTTTTCAAATTTAACATCTTTTTGCTATAATTTCTGCGGAAACACTAGGCTGGTTGTGATTTCTTCTCTTTCCCGTGATCCACATTCCCCATGACTAACATTTTTGTGCAAGTACTACGTTGTGAGCTTCTAGAAGTTCACTTCGTCCTTGTCTCAATTCATTTCAATTCGCGATATTTTCTCTTCCAAAATAAAAATCGTCGTCCTCGGCAATACGTGTTCCGATTCAGTAGAAATGTTGATTCCAGAAGACACGGAAAATAAAAAAAAGACAGTCCCAACGTCAGTGAACAGAACATTTTGAGTATGAAGAAGAGAACAGTCCCAAGAGTAAGATTAGAACAGCGTGAAGCGCTTCAATGGTTCGATTCTGAATATCACACTGTGGAGAAGAACAGCTCCTACCTACTGCGTCAGAATTGACAGTCACGAAAAAAGAGAAGACACATGGCCATAAACAGTTCACGTGTACTAATTTGAGGTCAAACTGGGCTATATGCGACGACTGGTACACGATTTATTGAACTGCTTGGCTGAGATGCTCATGGGAAAGGGATGTATACTGTTAAAATCTCAGGCCACCAAGGCGCATGTTTCAAAACTGAGGTCTCTAGCGTGATGCATCATCGGATGAGGTAGCGTATGTGTCTTCATTTTCAAAGAGGGATTTGTGAACGAGCGGACCGTACCTACAGTTTTTTACAACAGAGGAGCATCTCTAATACGTGGCCTTCAAATGCTAAGGAGGTTCATGAAGTTTGATTTCTCATGTATTATTTCTCAAAATCTAGGGACTATCTGTTCAGATAAACAGTTTTCACGTTTTCTGTATAACTCTAAAGCTACGTAGGAGCTGTTCAACTGATATTCTTATGTCTCATGCTCTTCAAAATGTAACTGAGAACGTATTTGGATAAGCATCCGACGTCGTCTACTTGTCTTGCCAGCATCGTTGCATACTTCCTCTTTTTTGGTACACAAGCAACACGCCTGCTCGAGACAATCGATGATACAAAAAAAAGGCGAAGGATGAACGATTGTTTCGTGAGTCGACGAAGAGGGACGTCTCCGTGCGCACGATGTCTTCGACAGACCGAGAGTGCGTGGTATCGAGAGAGACGCAGAAGAAAAATGCACAGTGTGCAGTGTAGACGTACGTTGAGTGACCGTCTTGATGATGCTCGTCTATGACGAGAACACAAGGTCAATAATGATGTACAAGAGAGAATCAGAGAAATTCTACGTGGAGAAGACAGAGCCTAGCAAAGACTGAGAAAAAAACGTCAGAAGCGAAGGATGTACGACAGTTATGAAAATAACAAGGGCAGTTTTGGTAAGAGGGAGATCGTGTTTTCTTAATGAAAACTGCCTGGTGGATCTCGAAGCTAGCTCTCACAGTCGAAAAATGCATCTAACTAAAAAAAGGTGTCGATGTTACTTAATTCGAAAGCAGTGTTGTGAAGTGGTGGGTCTTTTACAGGGAAATCGATTGATGCCGCAGTTGGGACGATCATCAAGTGAAAGTTCGGCCCTTTTTTTGAGAGAATTGCGGAATCATTCTGTAGAAAACCAAAAAAAAACTCGATCTCAAAAATAACCAGCATCAGCTGAGCTATTTTTTCGAGCAATTCAGAATAATTTTATCACAGAAATTTTTTCGAGCAATTCAGAATAATTTTATCACAGAAAAACTCACTTTAGTAAGGTTTCGGTGCTATGCGATTTCTCGATTAGTGGCCGATACCAATGTCCTGACTTTGTCGTAATATTAATTTAAAAACTGTCTATGCGTGCATGGAATCTGAAACGTTTTTGCGGAGAGTACCATGTTGCTGGAACGTTTTACTAACCGCAATCAAAACCTAGTAGGTTAACAGCTTTGTGGAAAAATGCGTTTGATGTGTCCTATTGCAGTTGGTAATCGGTTAAAAATTGATTGAAGACGAAACAGTCAGGCTGTTAATTTCGGAGTAAATCTTGATTTCATCGAACGTCATGAGCTGAGCTATCGAATCGCGGCTCTTCCCACTTGGCATTCATATTCTTGAACATTTTGCTAAAACAAAAAATAATTTCGATCAATATCTCGAGCAAGGCACGATTCGAACCTTTTCCTCCGCTTTTTACAGATGACTCCAAGCGATTCCCTGTCTGACAGGTCCTTTTAGTCTCTATCCAGTTTATGAGAGCATAGTTCGGTATTTGAGAGGAATCTTGAATAATTTTCCAGTCCTTCATAGCGACAAAAAAATAGTTTCCGATCTGTTCAGGTTTTGTTGTTATGTAGGCGCAAGAAGAGATGAGCATGGTTTCTTAGTCCTTCTTCCTCCTTCCATATTGTTTCATTTCCATTCCTCCTTCTTTCTTCAGTCTTGCAGATTTTGAAATGTTCTCTTCTGCTTATCTCTTGCCCCAAAATTAGTAATTTTTCGCATGATCCGTCTGCATAGAACACGTTTTCGACCGATTGCTGCGACTCGAAGACCCATCGAACACTCTGTAAGTTCAATTGTTGACATTTTCAGACATTTTCAGAACAAACGTTAATGAATTTTTGAAGGAGTTGCAATACATTGCTAAATCATTGATGTTCCTTCAAGACGATCGTTTATTTTCCCAAGAACAACTTTACGTTGATTTTTATTATTCCTCTCCGTCAGTAGCCAATTGTTTTTCGATGAAATATCTGAGACAGAAACGTTTTTTTTCTAGTTTTTCGGTGCCACATGTTTTTTCTTTTTCTCATTTTTTTAAAAGAAAAAGCTAGTGAAAAAGAACAGATAATGGGAGACGGATAATTTGATTTTTCGTGCGCACCGCAAACATGCTCCCCTGGACTATCACTCATTTTTTCGCGGATTTTCAAATTCGAATTAAATTTCTCTGAAAAAAAGCTATGAAATCCAATAAATGAAAAAGGAAAAATGGTTCTGATCGATTTGCTACAATTTACAGGAATGTATGTTGCTTAAATTTGGCTTTTTAACAAAACTTAGACTACGAAACGTTTGAAAATACTCACAGCTTTTTTCACTGTAAATGATTTCGTAATCGTGGATGAAGCTCTTCAATAGGTTCGTGGAAAATTGGGAAGTTCTTCGTTCTAAGGTTGTAGCAGGATGTTTTCAACTTCATCTTTGCATCATTGAAACCGGATTTTCTCTGAATAGTACAACACCGGAACTTGATTATCGTCGTGGATCGATTCATTTACTGATGACTTCTGTAATTAGAAATATTTAGAACGGGGCTACTGAAAATAACTAACGAATTGTTAAGATTTGTTTTAGGAAGTGGTGGCTTCAGAATTGTTCAGTTTACCCGGAATCGACATCACTTGAGAAGTTTGGGATCGTAGTATTGAGAAACCTCGAATTGAATTGTGTGATAGTAAGATCATCGAAGCTTCTAACACGAGTGTAAGTTTGTACGCAATGAGTGCAAGCAGAAATGAAGCTGAAAGCGGCTCATCGCCCATGGCTATCCGATTACTTCTTGCTTTTCATCGATTTTCTTTTTCGCCACGCTTGTTGTCCATCAAAGGTAATTTTCGGAGAAGCTTCTTTGGCATTTGAGTGGCATGATCTTTCCCAGTCCGTCAGGTTAGCTTCTGAAAATCATTGCGTATTTTGAATTATTCAGAAAGGCGAATAACTTACAAAATACGCTGATCCAGTACCATCAGTGAAAGGCCTCCCGTATTTTTAGCTATTGGTGTGGCCGTTTTTTTTGGATTCTCTGATTCCTTTTGGGCAGTTAGAGATTTCCAAACAGTCGGAACTCAGCATCTGAATTATCTTGTTACTCGGAAATATCTGAAATTGTATCTTCTGAATCGACTGTGACGATGCTGAAATATTCGCTCACCAATTTATTTTCTCAGTTCTCGTAAATCGCGTGTATTTGCCACTTCCCAAGTTATGCAATCTGGTCCATACTAAAATCCATCATCCTTTGAAATACCAGCACTGACGAGAAGAAGATAGATTCTCCGGTTGTCCTTGCGTGATTCTCCTGTAAAATCAAGAAACAAGTTCTATAAAATTATGTATTTGTGCTAACACTCCGAAAATACCATTCCGAAGAGCTTACCTTTTTTCAAATTATGCGAAACCGTTTGGGTTATTTTGATGAATAGAAAACGAATATACGGAACACGCTGTTCTTACGGGAACAAAAAGGATCAATAAGATGGGGGGTCATATGTATGCTCAGCAACGGACCCTCGTATCCCGAAAATGTGGGCGGACCATTGCGCGCGCACACACTCACCTAACACATAATTTGGTGGATTAGTTGGACCTTTCTCGTTTCTCAGAGAGAAATAAATGTGCAATTTGGAAGAAAGCAAAACTGAAGGTGTAGGGATCTTGTGAATTTAGCAGCTTCTGAAGTAGTTTCTGAAAATACGGTTTTTGATGGAAGGAAGCGTAAATTGATGAACTCACACTATCTTGATGCAGTTTTTCGTCCTTCTCAGAATTCAGCTTTGTCATAAACCAAATAAAAATGACCGGCTACGGTAGCGTCTTCTTTCAACCTTCTGTCCATTTTTTAATTCGGACCAAAGCATTAGCAACTAGTTCAGATAGTTTTTCTACAGCCTTTCATAACCATTTGTCCTGAGAATGTTTTCAGTTTTCTTCAATCTGCAAGCATCCAACTTCGTCGTTTACACTCACATTCGTTCAAATTGTTCTCCATAGTTTTGATGAACAAGACTCCTCGCATGAGATTCTGCTTATTTTTTTTCCAATTCCACGGCAAGAAAATCAATTTCATCGCTTGGTTGTGGTGATTGGAACTCTCAGGAGGAGTAGACAGACGGTCAATGTTGTAACGGTAGGTCAAATAAACCTTCAAAATGTTATGAGCAAAAGAAGGCTTCTGTTGTAGCTCCGAATGCGAACAATTGAGGTAGGAAAAGAAGGTATGCTTCGTGATCTGAAAAAATTCCAAGGTTGGCAAGGTTACCGTAAAACCTCTAATAGAACGACACCCGGATCGTCCACTTTGAGCCTATATATCTCATTTTCTCGAAATTTTCAAAAATTTTGGAGTGAAGACGACGCTTCAGGGTTTGAATTTAAACTTTGAGTTGAGATGCTTGTTATACTCCGCTAGTTGTTCGTAATTGATTTTTCGCGATCATTCTGGAAGTCGTGTTTTTGAGCGATTCAGTTGGAGGCCCATGGTTTTAGCTCAAGCATGCATTCAAGGATTATATGGGTTTTCATGGCGATTCGGTAACGGTTTTCTCAAAACGACAGAAAATGTACATTCCGTGATGTTCTTGAAATGTCCGATTGATCTTGAGAAATAAAGCTCTCCCTTACTCGAGCTCCTCAATATTTCTAAAGATGGGAATCTACCGACAAACCTAAAAGACAATAAGATTTGGTCCTCGTTTCGAAATTAAAAAGCGTACTCTGCTCCATCTGAGATATTGGATCCCACCTCGACACACTTCTCATCAACAATTCCTCGATTTCACTACATTATTCCCAATTATACATTTCTCGTCCACGAGAGTATCATCTTTTCCAGCTCAAATAGTTGATGATCAAGTCGAGTTGTGTGATGCCATTGTTTCAGTTTTCCACGTGCCTTTCCAAGTATTTTTCCTGCTCCAGATTCCAGAAAGCCTTACAAACTTGATCCCGAAGTCCATCCGGTTTCCCATTGATCCCTTTCTTTTGGTCGTTTTCTTCTCCCTACCTTCAATCATCTCATCATGCATCTTCCGTTGGGCGGAGTCTATTTCTAAAAAAAAAACTACTCAAAATGCTCTGTTTCCTACTCTCGCAACTAAATACACTTACTTGTTGTTTCGTCTCGTTTCACAAGCGTCTCTATCTCCATTGCATGACTCTTCTCTGCTCGCTGTTTTCCGCTTGTTTCTATCAGAAGATTATATAGTTTGAATGAGCGGAGAGGCTCTCGTTGCAGGAAGGCGTTGTTAAGGGGCGATATGGAAGCGATTACGAGAGAGAAGGCTAGAAGAAGATACGGAACACGATGTGGAGGACTCTCTTCTCCACCTTCAATGCCTCCTTCTTCCTCCTGACGGTTTTGGGCACGATAAGACGGCAGAGCGGTGGAAGAGGACAACGAGAATGGTGTTAGAGACAGTAGTTAGAGTGATGTCTCTGTCTTAACTATCTTTCTTCCCTCTGTGTTTCTCGATCACGGAGTGTTCTGCATAATTGAAACAGAACAAAACAACTGGAAATTGTATTTGAAGAAATTCCAAATTTTTATCATAATGAAAATATACTTTCAAGAGAGCATTTTAAGGGAATCGCATAGGAAATCAAATAGGAAGTTAGAGACTGATGAGTTCAACCATCAAATGGGACGTTTCGAAATATTAACTGGGACAGATGACAAATTAAAAAAATGGAAATTTCGCGGGAGATACAGTACAATCATAAACAGAAGGGGGGAAGAAAAGACATTTGAAAAATAAAGAGTGTATGGAAATAATTGAGAGTAATTGATAAATATGAAAATTAGAGATTACTGATATAACAAAACAGATGTTCCGGAATAAAAATTATAGTAAAGGTAAAAATACAGAATACCGTAAATGATCTTATAGCTCTAAGGCTCTAAGCCCACCCTATTCGTGCATTTCGAGCTCAATTATCTCCGTTTCTTTAAAAGAAAGTTACCATTTTGTTAACTGATAAAATGCGTCTCATAATATCTCCAACACTTTATCAGTTATTATAATTTTCATACCTTTTGTGAGAACCGAGTAACTTGAGCTTTAAGTGTGTGTAGATGGTAGGTTTCTAATAGAGTTTCAAATATATAATACGGTAATTAAAAAGTGTGAAAATATTGTTTCTAAGTTCCTCCGTTCTAAAATTCTGACGGAGATTTGTTTTAAACTAACAAAGCTAGAAAAGAAAGTTAGCGGTGAGAAGGAAAAAAATTGAAAGTATATAGATTAGGGATTTTGGAGAAAACAGAGGAACTTAGATTCGTTCAATTATATTATTGCTTCCAATTTGGGTTGCTTGCCACACGACGAATAGCCGATGATGGATTTTTGGCGCTGAAAAAAAACTATTAATACAACCTTATAAACAAAACAAAACGTACTTTGCTTTGCGAGGAAACCAGCCATTATTGATTTTGACTGTCTCAACGGTGGAACGCGATTTGGGATTTGGATCGAGCAACTTCTCGATAATTTCTAAAGTTTAGGGTTCTATTACTTGGATTTGCACAGATTGATGCCCACCTTTCGCTGTGCTGCTGATACAAGCATAACGGGGAATGGGGATTTTTTTTCGTGTAGACCCAATCAGCATACTGTAAGTGCGATCTGGAGAAAGGAAAGAAATTTAGAAACTCAAAAATTGATGATTGGAGTAGGCCAGTTTTTGGAAATTAACAACATAAGAAATCCCAAAAATCTACTTACTTCTCTGCTTTGAGCCATGGAAGATTGTTAGTCAACATTGTGAGCAGTACAATTCCACATGCCCAGTTATCCACAGGTGGTGCCAAATATCTTGCAGTTTTTCTTTTTCTGTAGCACTCAGGAGCTGCGTAAGCTTTGTGTCCCCGTACTCCGTCGTATGTTTGGGGGATTTTCCCAAATTTGTCAAAGCACATCTGAGCCCTCCAAAAGCCTCCGACCTTGACGATTCCTAGAATTTGAGACATTTAATGTTCATGTGCTCTGTTAAGTGCGTGTTGTGTTACTGACAAGGCTTGCGCGGACCGCGGAACATCGGATATCTCAATTTTTCTCGAATACTTAATTCATTTTTCTGTAACTAACATCAAAAGTTTAAAAAACACCTAAAGTCAACAAAAATGTCGCCAATGAGCCCATAGCGGAAAAGTTTTTGTTTCGGAATTTTTTTGAAATGATAGGTCGGAAAAATCAAATGTTCCGTTTTCCGACTCCTAACGAACCTGGTACTGTCTGAAATGCATATCTTATTTGCTCTGATCGAAGTTCATCACAGATGTGCACTTTATGCTCAATTACCTCGGTTCCTTTGAGAGATATCAAAAATTTGTCAACTGATAAAATATTGGTTATATCATGATAAATAAATTATCACTCAGAATTTTTCAAAAATCTTTCGAATGAACCGAGATAATTGAGCTCAAAGTGCACGTATAGAGTGGCCTTGGATACATCGTGATCATCAATACCTGTTTGCGTGACAAAAATATTGCCTGGATGAATGTCGAAATGAGCAATGTTTCTTCTGTGAAGGAAAGCCACAGCATCTATGAGCTGAGTGAAAATCTCCCTCGCATGGGGTTCTGTGAAGAATGCATTCTTGCAAAGTTGGTCTTTCAGACTTCCGCCATCGACGTATTCCATTCGCAACTCGTGGAAGAATTCCATGGTTTTCATGGAAAACATTTTGAGAATATTTGGATGTTGGAGTTCACTCAGTTTCATGTGTAGTCGGAATTCATCAACAACATGAACTCCATCCTTCAATCTCGTTGACACCAAGCCGACTGGAATGGTCTTCTGGACTAAGACCCAGTCTGGACATTGGGTGTTCTGCATGAGAAAAAATCTCACTAGCTTGTTTTTGCAGTAACCCAGTTCCTTTACCTTCATGTAATGGTCTTTTTGTGGAGGATCCGGATAGTACTTGTAAAGATTCTCATCCTTGAGATTGTTCAGAGAGCCATGGATTTGTTTTGGTGTAGTAACTGGGGTCGCAGTCTTCTCTGTGGTGGTTAAGCGAGACACTGACTGTGCTCTTTTTCTTTCCGGAGGGGCTACTTGATACTTGACGCTTCTAGAGGCGGTACGCTCAAGGTTAGAGGTTCTGGATGGCGAGAGAGGTGTGACCATAGCAGTTTTTCTAATCTCCACTTTCCCCAAAAATGGGAATTTGATAATTGTAGTTGAAGATGAGTCGGAGTTCATTGATGGTCGTCTAGTGACTGGTGGAGCAGAAGAATTTCTCCTCAGCATGCTTGCGTATCTCTTGTGACAGTACCTAGAAACTTCACTTTAGGAAATCAGAATATTTTAATAAACAAACAGGTTGTCTAACGAATGAGAATGAAAACAATTATTCCATCAAAAGAGGTCTTGAATTACTCAAAATTCTGAAAGTCAGAAGTTAGCTTCAGCTCAAGTGATCACAAAATTGTCGTCTAACTCTACCAATGCAAGTCAAATGTGCCAAGTTCCGATTGGCTCTTGATGTGTTTTATGAGAAAAAAACAGACTCTAGAAAATTGGTTCATTTCAGACCAGGCATTTTTTCAATGCACGAGTAATATGAATAAAAAAGTATGGGTTTAATTGGACAAGGAAAAAACCTATGCAAATAATCAGTTGACACCACCTAGCTGATTCAAATTCCAATATATAGTCACGCATATCGAATAATTTTTTTGATGTGACAAGCTGAGAACAGAAAAAATGGCACATGTAAAATTTTGAAAAATTGCATATACAACAATATTTTTTCGACCTCTCGCGGATTTCAAGAGTTTATGGTCTCACAAGTTTTCAACTGCCAAGATACAATTTGTATTATGATAAGTGTTTTTAAGTTAACTACTTTGTGATATACCTCCCTGGAAGCGAAATATATGGAAAACAGTTATGATTGAAACAATTGGTGAGAGGGGCGGTGCTTAGAAGTCCTCAGAAGAATTCGGATTTACGGAGTGACAGAAGGAGGTGGGTCACCAGGTCTCCAAACATATTCGGAGCAACTGGATGACGCTCCGCCCTGAGCCAGATGCCGGAAAACTCCGCCCATCAGAGCCAATCAGAGCCAAGCGAAGAAAAAAATAGAGCCAAGCAAAAAATTTTGACTGTAGTGCTCTACTTCTCAACGGAAACAACACAAATGAACTAACCTACAGAGAACAGAGATTATCAAAACTACAAATGTAATGAGGGATGCCATAAAATTGTTTACAAAACATTAATTAGCTAACACGAGTCTTAAACTCTTTTTGTTAAGTTCATTCGAACAGATTTAGATTTCTCCATGATCAATGTTTAAAAAAAGCAATATTTTATGAAACAAGTCATATGTTCTTTCAACTTTTAAATTGATTTGGTAGCTGATAAATTATTTATAACTCTGGTACCAAAACTGTAGCTGAAGAGAAACGCCGATGACCGTGGACAAAATACCGTAACCCAAACATTAGTTTTTCAGGTTTTGAAGTCTTCGCTATCAAAATGGTTTTTTCGACTTATTGAGTAAAAAGAAACCGAAAGCATGACGAAAATCAGTGAAAAATGAGGAAATAAGGGCTGAGAATGAAAATATGTTTAGGTTAAGGTAGTTGACGCTTTAAGACTTTCAGTCACGCCCACTGGCGTCTCTCATTCACATTTTCAGTATTTTGTATAAAAATAAAGCCTGATCAAGCTTCTAAAAATTAGATATCCTGTGTGAGCAATAGAGACCCTGAATAAAATCGTGTGGTTCTGATAGGTTTGAAATAAAATCAGAATGATGTCAGATCGCTGTACAAGAACTCATTCGCGTGTTGTTCCAAAAATCGGAAAACTTATGAAAACGTTTGAATCGAGCTCGAGAAACAAGAACAAGCAATGAGCAATCAAAAGAAATTTGAGCATTACAAATTTCGTGATCAAGTCATAATAATCCTAGAATTCAATCATAGTGTCATCGAAGTATGCTAGAGATAATCTGGACAGAAAAGCCATCACGTGAAAAGTACAATTCGCGCATACAATTCTTTTGCTTACGACAGCAGAAGTCTTTCAAACCATCTACTTGCAGAGTGAAAAATTCAAGAATGAGGGAATCGGACAAACAAGAAATGAGGATTAAAATGAACTTCAGATAACAAACAGATGAAACAATAAGATTCTTAATTTGGAATGAAATTTGAAAAAAAACTGAAGCTTTTCGGGAATCAAATATTTCCGATGCTTTTTTCTCAGAATCAGGTTCCGGTTAGAACTCTTCAGAATTTTTTTAGAATTAGAACTTTTTGTACTACGGTATGTCAAAGAATTCTCCTAAATTACAAAATATTAAAACTCGGAATTTTTGACATTCCCGAAATTCCAAATAGGGCATTTGCGGATATCCCTACGAACGGAATCTTTGGACGAGTCTATTTTTGCCAATGGAAAATATTTCGATTTGTACCCTATAATGTCTTTTTCCATAGACTGGCCATTGCAAAACATATAATGCCCCTGTAAAACTATAAAAGCCATAATTATCTAGAGTGAACTCTTTTTTTTTTCATTTGTTGGTCGCTTTCCTTTAACGATGAGAAGCAATTAACATCATCAGAATGCGTCAAACTCATGATTTGATTAGTCACACGATACCTGAAAAAGCAAAAATTTTAAATCCCTTTGGGAGTCGAATGTGAGACTTCTACCCAAATTAAGGTAGAAAATAGAGTTTCGGGGAAAGTTATGAGTCAAGATGGTACCTTAAATTGAGCACTGATTAAACTGAACATTGACCCTTGCGGACACGGAGCTAATAGCATGAAGATCTGATTTTTGTAAAGTTTGAGTCCAATAGCCATACATACCTCTGATTCATTCGTTTTCTTTGAAAATCGTATTTTGAGTTTCAGATTCTATCGGTTGTGGGTTGGAGAACTTGAAAAAAGTTTGATTGAAACAAATAGTTCATTAGGGTTTTTGATAATTAAGACAGTTCGAATAATATTTTACCATAATAGCAATGAGAAAAACTTTACAAGACATTTTGATTATTTAAAGTGCAAGAAATAGAAAAATGATTTGAGGGGAAGATATAAGAAATGAATCATTGGATTCAGGGAGTTTCAATTAACACAGTTATGAAGAGGAGATGATGATTTGATTATAACAAACGAGGTGAAGCTTTTGAGATTTTTTTTGGAAGAGATTGAGTTCGCTGTTCAAGTAGAAATCACAGGAAAGTTAGATGGAACGCTAAAAAAACCGGGAGGATAGTCGAACACTGATTTGAAAAGGTTGAAACTTTGAGAAAATGAAAAATAGGGATCAACAAAGCCTGGCTAAATGAATTTTTTCTTTTGTAATAATTCCGGCATAGCTGACTGCAAACGAGTAGTTAGAAATCTATATTTCAATAGGATAGAAATGGGTTTTCGCAGGCTCGGGTCGTGTAAAATGGTGTCAACGAGGACATCTGAAAAGCTATAATTGTTTATTTGTCTTCAGATTTTCAGATACATACTTGTGCCGAGCGCATCAATTTTTCTCGCATCTTGAATAACCTCAAGGACTCTCTTGTGCAATGGTTGATCAGTTGGCAATCTAGAAAATATTTTCGATTAACAATAGTTTCAGCTTACAGGTTTCAGAACAAAGAATAGAAAAATTTCTACAAAAAATTAAAGAAAAACTCTGTCGAACACTTACGGATTGTACAGGACTATCATAGCATATAAAGTCAGGCCAGCTGAATAAATGTCTGCTTCAGTACCCGAATATGAGACTTCAGAGAAGCATTCCGGTGCCGAGTACATTCCTTCACCGATAAGTCCATTCAATAGTATTTCCCTATTCTTGCTGTCTTTTATGGGAGATACATTTGAAAGTCCGGTAATCTTGAGAACGCCTGAAATTGTGCTCGTTTTTTTCAAATTTAAGCTTGCCCACTGACCATTCCCGGTGTACAGAAGATTCTCTGGCATTATGAGTCTATGACAGTAATTCTTTCCGTGAAGAAATTGCAACCCAGTGAGCAGGTCCTTGAAGAGGCTTTGCACAGATCCCGGAGGAAACAGGATGCGCATCTCGATCCTTTCGGAGATTTTCATCAAATTGCGAAACACCAGAATGTGATAGCCATCGACAGTGCTTTGTGAGAGAAAGTTGATAATATTCTTGTGTTGCAAATTAGTAAGGAGCTCAAGCTCCTTTGTATACTCCTTCTTCCCTGCCTTGCCGTGGAAAACCTTCGCGATGGCTCTTTCGAAATTGAATTTCTCATTACAAAGAATTTCTTTGTGGTGTGTCCCAGTTTTCACAATCTCGATTGGTGTATATTGGGGAGTTTTTCTCAAAATCTCCACCGATGAGTCTTTGTTAAGGGAAAACCATCCGAAAAATGAAGACATTCTCTGAAAACTTTAATGTAAATGTTTTTTCGAGAGGTCTAAATTTTTAGGGGAAAAAATATGAGAAAATCACTTACTCGGATGTTGCAGAAACTGTGACAATGCAGTTATGAAGATAAGACAAGGCAGAACGAATCTGAAATGAGCTTAGGTTTGTTTGATGACACGAATTACCGGATACGTGTGTATAAAGAAAAGTATTCATTCAAAGAAAAAATGAATCACATAACTATTTTTTCTTTTCCGGACACACTCAATTAATATCCAAGTTATCCACCAACAAGGTAAGATAGACTCCGCTTTCCTCAGTAACGCTAGTTAAGAAGCCTAACAAGACTCCGCCTTTTTTCAACTGCATCAGTGATTCAAAACAATAATTAATTCCCCGGGGAAATCAATAATCAATCAGGGAAAAATTTTGTTGGCTCGGAAAGAGAGGCGAGAGGAAAGTTTTGACAAAATTCTAACATCACAATTGGATACATCGGAAAAATAGGGATGATAATTTGAGTTATTATGCTTGTCTGAGAAAAAAAAGGTTAGAGAGTATTTTTTGCAGTCTGAATACGGTAGCTATATCGAAGCGAAGAGCCTAAATAGCACACATAAGGTGGAGACACATACACTTTTTCTCTGCGTCTCAACCTTTTTTTTCTCAGACAAGGATAATAGAGATGGAGTGGGGGTCATGAAAAAACAATTAGGTATGAAACTCTGGCAGTTGAACTTTTGGCCCCATTTTCAATGGTGCAGCTACGCGAAATTTTCAATATATGAAGCCGGTTCATAATCACACAATGAGGGAATACCGATTACTGTACACCGCTACATCAAATTACATACGGTTACTACAAAAACTCTTGGTACATATCTCATTTCTCCATTCCTTCCGAAGAAATGTCGGTAACATATTAGCGAGAACCTTCATGATCATATGTGTATGATACAAATTGAAGAATTCTTAATTGGGAAAACATGTAAACTGTATTTCATAGCAGTATTGTTATCACAACTCAATGAACATTAGCAAAATAGAAACTAGAACCTTAACAACTTTTCCTGAAACGGCGCAAGTTTTTTTTAAGACAGACATAAAAGACACTCGCCATTTGTTTAAAATAAAAAATATCAGGTAAGACAAGTAATAAATGACAATTGACATATTAAAAGTGCATCATTTCCGAAGTATGGAGTCGTTAAGTTGACTAATGGAAAAGTACATCAATTAAGCTTTGATGAAACATTTCCAGTGTCTCACTAACTTCACAGTTACTAGTGACGTTAGTAGATGATCAGCAAACTGATTGTCATTGTTTTTTAACAGGATAAATTTTTCATGATTTATTTCTCCGATATTTCAATCCATAGGGAGTATGACGTTTGATGTTGATACCTTGGACTCTGCGAAACACACCAGGCTCCATTCTAATTAGGGATATTTCCGAAGAGGGAAATTTTTGCAAATTGAGTATTTAGTGAATCTCAACGTAAGTACACATGATCTAGGGGAGATTCAAAAAGATGTTCGAATAAAATTAGAAAGATAAACACTTCCCAATTCATCCCGAAAATGTGAATTAATGCTAATTAAGGCGGATACCGGCTGTGATTCCCTTTGGATTGTGGCAGATACAGTAGTTCATGTGAGAAACATTAAACTTTTCAGTTAAAAACTATAAAAAATTGAAAAAACTTACAAATCCGGAACAAATTAGTAACGAGCATATACACATTTATGAAATTCGCTATTTTCGATATCTGCCAAAGTGGCTCGTTGGCATGGATCAGTCTCGAGAACTCTTCCGAGAGTTTCTGAAAAATATTTTTTCACATTTTTAAATATTAATGAGTACTTTGAATCTCTTCGTTGTTTTTAACACATAGAACTTGCTTATTGAAAGTTTGATGAAGTTTCCAGCGATTGTAATTATAGCATTTTCTGTAAGTTTGCACTATTAAAGTTAGAAAGAAAAACATTCTGACTCACTCTGAAGCAGCATTCCATGGAACTTCACGAGCAACCATGTAATACAGGACTATTCCGGCTGACCATATGTCAACTGGTTGGGCATGGTATGCATACCTTCCGAAACATTCAGGGGGCCAGAATTTTGTTGTTCCCACTGCTTGAGTAATCAACTTTAACTTTCCATAAACTCGAAAACGGCTAGAACATCCAAAATCGGCAATTTTCAGAACGTCTAAAAAGGAAGTCATAGATTTTGTTCAATAATAATAATAATTTTTTGACTTACTGTCTACCGAAAGTAGCAGATTTCTTGGTTTGATGTCATGATGGACAATTCCTTTCTCATGTATGTATCTCAAGCCAGCTATCAGTTGTTTGAAATAACGCTGAACCAAATCAATTGTGAGATAACCAGAGCAGATTCTGCTGTGGAGTGTTCCGTTATTGGCGTATTCTTCAACTATCAGACAATCATCTCTTATCATTTGATGGCTATGAATTCTGATGACGTTTTGGTGGCCGTGACAAGTCAGATGAATAGAGATCTCTCGGTTGGTGTGAACTTGTTCAACTCTACTACCAGGAACATATTTTATTGCGCACAGGTAGTTTAGGCTCGCTTTCTGACGTACGAGCCAAACTTCTCCGAACGTTCCTTTTCCGAGTTTTCTTATTGGCTCGAATTTATTTTGCTGTTTCAGAACAGCTGGAACTTTCGGTTTTGCACATGGTGAGTAGCTCGCAACCCAATTGAGAAAGTCGATCAACCACATTTTTCTGGAAATTGTGAACAGTCAAAGTTATGTATAGCAAAACGTGAAAAAATAAATTAAGTATTATCAATTAGTTAAAAATCTTCTCTGGAAAAATTTGGAGCTCGTGAATGATTTCTTCTTTGGATTCTTAGAGAGAATTGAATGAGTCTATGCATTTTTTTCTCAAAAAAATGAAGCTCCTTTCTATCAGACCTATAATTTTTTATTGGGCAAAAGGGGTAGGTAGGTTTTTTCTTTTCGAAAAAGGGAAAAAATGACGTACATATGAACATTGCCGAGGTCCTGAGAATGAATTGTTATGAATTCTAATTTGGCAAGACTTGAATATTGAAGCTTTTGTTATTTTGCCTTATCTTACTTGGGAGCTATTTGAGCATTGCTTCAGGTTACAAAAGTGAACTTCGAAAAGATTTGGGCGAATAAAACTTTCTTTTGATTTCAAAGTTTTTGAAAATTCACGGTTTGACAAAGAGGTCCCGGGATCACATTGGGCTGTCCAATTTTGTGAAATACTGTTTTTAGCATTTCTGATCGTTTAGAACCTTTTTCAGCACTGTTCGAAAAGTTTCAAAAATCCACTTCAAAAGTGTAGGAGTACTCTATGGAAACTTAAAAAAAAACAGAGAACATTTTTTTTTTCATTTTGATTGTTTCGAATTAACATCTAAAATCGGAAAAAAAAGATCTGCGTTCGGGGGGAATCGAACCCCCGTCGAATGCTTGGAAGGCATCCATGCTGACCATTACACCACGAACGCGACGAGAGAAAAAAGTGGTGAGCCCGTTGACAACTGTGTGTCTCTGTGTGTCTAAACCAGAAACTTTTGTGTACACTTCCCTTTGCATCTCTTTCAACATTTGTGTTTGTCACTTTCCACATTTGTTTTATTTCACAAAGTTTCAGAAGATTTTAATTAAAAGGAAGAAGAATACTGGTTGTGAAAGGGATTGTGAGAAAAACAGAGATGAGTATTCTGAATCAAACTATTTTTTGAACTTCAATTTCAGTTTGGAAACGTCCGGCTTGATGTCAACCTCTTCGTCTTCATCGTCTACTTCTTGCTTCATTTCTGGCTTATCGCCCATGAATGCACCGATTCGGGGAAAATGCACCCAGTATTCCGCCAGGTCGTCTTTGATTCTGCCATCCTTGTAGTAGACATTCTGAAAATTAGTTTTGTCAAAAATTAAATTCAAAAATTGATGAAAACTCCGTTTAAGGTCACCAAAATTGATAAAAGGAGGCGAGACATCAAAAATTTCGGGGGACAGATCGGGGGACGAAATCGCGCCGCGCTTATGTAGACCATCAGTCGTCAGGCGCCTTCGCGCCCCCGTAGCTCAGCCGGTAGCGGCGCTGTACCCCTGAGCTGCCTGTCATGAGTTCAACCCCTCATAGGGGTTCTCTATGCAAAATATTTAAAACGATTGTTACCAGAAAGAAAATTATTCATTTCTGTTAAACAAAGTTTTTTTCTCAAAAAATTACTTTTCGCGATTTTTTAGGAATAATAGTCAAAAAACTCACTGTTCTTGGCTTCATTGTATAACCATTTATGGCGAATTTCACATCGAACAGTAGACTCAGCTCACACCATTTCTGTGCTACCATATCCACTGTAAAATTTACAATTAGCTTCAGAAATACCAAACAAAGAAGTTTGGGAGACGCTTATTCAAATGATACGGCATTCTTAAAAAATTTTCTCACAAGTTTTATGTCTTGTTGCTATAGGCAACATCAAAGAAAAAATGATGACACTATTCCAGTTTAGTGGTCCCAAAAAAATTCGAGGGAATCCTGAAAAATATAGGGGATTCTTAAAAAAGAAAGAGGCTTACAAAAATTCGAAAAACTTTTTTTTCAGGGTCCCTTCAATTTTCTTTGGATCCCTCAAATGGAATAGAGTATTTCTCTTCCGAGATAAATTACCTGTGTATTCTTTTTGAAATTCGTTGTTAAGGATCGGCTGAATGATGGCGAAGGCTTTCTGAAACCTCATTAATATTAAAAGTAGGGCAAATTATATCTGTTTACCTTATGTTCATCAGTTACTTCTGCAAATCTCATGAGTTTCCAAAGCTCCGGATGCCCTTCAACAAAGTCAATTAGCGCTGTTTCCACTTCTGTGGTCCAACCTTTTGGAAAATTGGGTATTGTGGTCATCTGAAAATGTTATTATAATGAAAATATGTTTCTAAAAAGCTGATAACTCAATAAGGAGGAAGATGAGATCTCAAAATAAAATGTTTTGATGAGAGAAAAAGAAACCTGTCAAAAAAAACGAAGAAATAGAAAAAAATTGGAAAGTGTACTTCTCATATTAGCTATTCTGATACAAAAAAGATTAGAATCGATTCTTTTTTTCTTCTTCTTTCGTGTCTCCGTCGCTGCGTTGTGGCCAGAGAACGGAGGTATGTCCTAAGAGACAGAGCACCAAAGGGGGTATTTTATATGCCGCAGAGAAATGAGATAGAATGCACGAAAGGGAGCAGACTTGGTAGAGATTGATGGCTGACGGAAATGAGAAAAGGAGACATGGGAGGATATAATCCGAATTGAAATATCAAGGCGAATGTCTAATACGTGCATCTAAAATTGAATATGAACAAAAGGAAAATCCAAATGGGAAGTAAGAAATTTCACAATTCCAAAAACTAATGATTCTAGAATCAAACATTGTATTCATTTAGAAGTAATGTTCTCAATAAAAAAAAAGTAAACACGCTCCAAAAACTTTTGCTCCAAGAATGGCAGCTGGCATCGTTGTCACATGTTTGCAAAACTATTAGAGCACCATTTTCTAAAAACACATAGTCTAAAAGAATTGAATTGAGAAATTCGTTTTAATGAGCTTTGGCGGAAAAATAGTGATGTGTTTGTATTAAAAACTTGATATTGATACCTCAGGTAATTTTTTTTTCTTTATATTTGAAAAAGACTGAAATATCCTAAAGCATTTTATTCGTCTGTTTAGCATATTTTTCTCAATTAAAAAAGCTCATAATATTTGCTTCCTGGCTTTATTGAAACTATTTTAAAGTGAACTTTTTTAGGAAAAAAATTTGATTGACAAACTTAAAGTGACCAGTAATCCAAGGGTACTACCAAGAACTTTTTTCCGTTGCATATAAAAATAAGCAAAAAAAATTATTGTAAAAAATTTATTCATAGGTTTCCGGAGTTTCGCAGTTCAAATGAGGTAGATTTCAATATTGCAGGGGATACTTGTATCAAATAGAGGTAGTAAATTGGTGAAGAAGTTTCAATTGCCAGTTCCATATGTGGGTTTCAATGTAAAATTCCTGGCTTTGAACTCCGAATAGCTGAAAGGAAAATTACAGAGGTTTGTGAAGCAATAGCACAACCAATAATCGCTTGCTGGAAGCCGAAGCTCGACTCCACCGTCTGAAAAAAAGTATCAGTTCATTTTTGGGGCTTGTACTTTTCCTATTTCTAATACCAACCTGGAAAACGCAATCGTGGTCGTCTTTTAATTCAACAATGTTGGGAATTCTACTCGGATGACGCTCTCCACCACCGAAAACACCGATACCGTCATGCACAGAGTATACCGCGGTACAAAACTTGCGGTGGTGGAGAGTCGTTACAGCTTCCTCGTAGTTATTGTACCCGTAACACATGAGGCATATGGAGACCGGCAAGATGGCAAGAATCAGGAGTATCATAAATAGAGATTTCATTACTGGAGTACAGGATAAGTAGTGTTGGAGCGAGAAGATAGCTAGAGGCGTGTTGATGAGCCCGATGGGTGAAGAACTAAAGCTTCTCAAGGCATTTTGTATTATTCATTCTGGGCGGAGCTTATTAACTTTGGTTAAGTTTGGCAAACTGAACTTTCTTTTCTCAGAACGAATATTCCCGATTGCTCCGCCTTTTTCCCAAACAAATATTTGATTAAAAAATATTTGAAGGACTCGCATAAAAAATGAAGGTTATTTACTAGCATGAATTTGTAATTATCAATATAATTTCCAAGCTAAAAACCATTTTAAATTGTAATTTTTATGTTGTAGGCTTGTAAAAAGCCAGCATAAAGCAATTAACTACAAAAACAGTTTCGGGCAGCATAAAGTACATTTTTTGCTTTACTGGTCTACTCAGAAAAATCATTTGTTTGCTCTGGCTCTCGCCGTTTTTCGCAACATTTTTGAACAAAGTTCGCCTCAATATTTGCCAAGGTTTTTTTTCGAATGGACGAAAAAACTCGGGTCAACGTGGTTTTGTTTATTTTGGTTCGAAAAGAAAGAGGAATGAGACAAAACGAATTTTATAGAACGTTTAAAAATACGAACTCAGAAAAGACGCTCAGAAGGGATGGTTCGTTTCTGTTTGGCGTTTTTTCCAGCGAACTCTCGATACGTATTTGAATACGACTATGAATAATCGTAAACCAACATTGAAAATCGAATAACTTTAAGCCAAAGTTAATCTCGAAAAGTTTCACAGATCCTTTGTCATACTTAGTTCTCAAGTGAGCTGGAATAATTGCATGGTTGGAGATCTGTCTTGGAAAAATAACAGTATTAGTACTAACTAAGACAAATTGTGCTTTCAAAAGAACCTTTTCTATTTTAGAAGAGTCTAAAAAAAAAAAAAAAAAAAAAAAATCCAAAAAAATTATAAACTAATTTTCGAATTTTGAGGTGGCGAAAAATTCTGGAAAAAAAGCGGTCCTGAAAAAGGATTTGATGGATAGTAGAGTCATTATCAATGGAAATTGTTTTTCATTTTTAATTTTTCTAATTTTCATGTGCGTAGAATGTTTTCGCAAACAATCGCAGTCAAAGCACGTGTATTTTAAAATGACCGAAGTACAATTAAAATTATGTATTACCATTTTCAAAACGCAATACAGTACGATCAATATCTTTAGGACCCATCGATTTTGGCGGTTCCAAGAGAACAGGAAGAGATATCAAATTTCTGTAAACGCCATTCGATTCAAGATAAAAAACCCGAGAGGACAAATTTTCGATTCTACCACTTTCCGTTTTAGAGTACCACCAAAAATGCCTATTTTTGGCCGGTCAATATCTTTAGGACCCCTGGAAATTTTGAAATCTTGTTCTTGTTTCGTCGAATTTTCACTTTTAAGCTGAAAATAATTTTCAGTTTTGTGCTTTTTAGATAATTTTTATAAGTATCTCAAAAATGTTTCATAATATGTCGACTTTCCAAATTAATTTTTTTTTCTTCAATTTTTCCTAATTTTTGGTTATTTTTGTAAAGGTCACCCAATTTGTCAAAAAATGTAACTATTCAAAGAGAACAAGAAGAAGTGTGTGATGTTCCACATATTGGGTTATTTCCAAAAACTACGAAAAATGATGATTTGGAAAGTCGACAAATTATGAAAATTCTTTGAGATACTTATAAAAATGTACCTAAAAAGCACAAAAATAAAAATTATCTTCAGTTTAAAAGCGAAAATTCGACAAAAAATGACCAAAATTTCGAAATTTCCAGGCTCCTGGACGTTTCAGAACTCGACGTTTCGGAACCACGACGTTTCAGAACCGTACAGTTCAGAACCCGACAGTTCAGAACCCGACGTTTCAGAACCCGACGTTTCAGAACTTTTCTGCATTTTTGTATAGTGGTTTTTGCGCACCAGATGAGCATTGCTCATTTCAATTTTGCGTTTTTCTGCTTGTGGACTGAATAGAATTAGATGCGATGAGGACAGGTAAAAAATTTGGAAATTTTTAAAATATTTTAAGAAGAGGTATTTCAAGAGAAATGGAAAATTCAAATTAGAGATTTTTTACTGCTTATGGGAATATGGAAATTACAACAGTATATGTTGGCAGACACCAGCATATTACCGTATTTCGTCTAAGAAAAGCGCACCCAAGTCCTCAACTTTGCGCTTGATTATCTCGATTTCTGTGAGAGATATCAAATAATGGTCAACTATTAGGTTGGCTAAAAAGAAACCGGAATCGTCTTTGATGGATTATATTTTAGAGGAAGAAAACATTGGAAATTTCTGTTATGTTTCATCTTAAAGTACTTTTCATGACGCGTTGTCGTGGAATATCACATATTCCACTAGTCTTTAATCTCAAATGAGGAAAATCCTCTCTAATGTTCTTTCAGGTTTCTTCAGATCTTTTACACCCCAACGGCCTGCATTCAAACTACCGCCAACGTCATCAGTTTGAAGCGCCTCGTGCGTACACTCCACCAACAACACGCTTCTCCGGCGCCAAGTTCAAGTCACCTGCTCAAACATGTCACATTAATTCTCTCTTATCTTTGAGATGACCTTAAGTCATCTTTCGCTAACCTTTTCTCTATAATTATATTGAATAAAGACTTAGTAATAAGTCAATGTTCTTTCCACGACTTCTAACAGCCGACGTCCACTTCTGATTTTTTCCGCGCTATAACTAAAACTTGAACATGTTTTCAACACATGTCTTAAAACCGTTCAACCAATTCTTAAACGTCTTTGAGAGCCATGGGGACAATGAACATGGATTTCCGCCTCAAATTTCCGATAATTCTGTTTCGAAGCAAGTAGTTGCATCGGACACGAGCCAAACTATTCACTAACTTGCTCAGCAGATTGGACGTTTTTATGGCACTATTGTACAATACGTGTACGCGTTTCGGCAAATGAACCCATATGGAAAAAATATTTGAAACAAAGTAAGCAACGCCAAAAAAGCGGCAAGAATGGCAACTACTACGATTCTTCTCTGCCGTGCCAAGAACATTAAATTTTCAGCTATTTTTTGACTGGAAACGAAAATTGAGTTTTTCATGACAACACCACAAAGAAATTACAGTGGTTGGTCGTCGGCGTACATCTGAAACATGCCCTTAACCTGATTTTGATGGAATAAGTTATGCAATATGTTTGGTGGCACCATCCAGTTTCTGTATTTTCGGAACTTCTGATTTTCTGCCAAACAGTCATGGTAGATGTCTATTGACATTTTATTGTTTATACAGATAAAGTGCTTTGCCAAAAAGTAGTGATTACGAGGTCCAGCAAGTTGCTTTATATCAAGGCCCATCCGCCTGATGCAAAAATGACACCGTAAAAAATCGAACAGATGGGCTTGGAAGTTCCAGCTCATGCGCGTCATACCTCTTATATAGCTTTATCGAATTCTCATTTATATCGGTCGATGCACTGCTCTATAGCCGAAACGCGCTTCAAAAATCATGAAAATTCCAAAAAATGAGTGCATGCTTAATTTGTCTTGCAACGGTTCGAGTTCTTTCAAGAAAACGTTCATTCTCTGCGTGTTGCATGTTTCCAGAGAGTCATTGATGCTAATGGTTAATGCATTTTGGATTCAGATTATAAACTCCCAGTTTTACGATAACGTTTGTCAACACCAGAAATTCCGGTTTCTTTTTAGCCAACATAATGATAAAATATTGTTGATGTTATGAGAAATAATTAATAAGTTAATAAATTTTAATAGCTTTTACAGGAATCGAGATATTTGAGATCAAAGTTGACAATTTCGGTTGGATTCTATTTGAGGAAATACTGCATAAGAGATTGAAAACCAATCGATTTAGGGTTCTGAAAAGGTCACGATTCTGTTAACGCTTGTTACCACTGCAGTTGTTGTTTTTGGGCGAAAAATCGGGTGGGTCATAAAGAAGACAATTGGGAAAACTACTGTAGCAAAATCCAAGGCGAATGGTCGAACAGTAAGAATGTAGCCAAGGGCTGCTTGCCTGGAGAAAAAGACAAACTGAACAAAAGAAATTCGAATGAGTAATTTTTTGATTTCTATTTGTTACTTAATCGGAACATTAAAATTAATTTGAACTGGGAAATTCATTGAAGAATGAAAAGGTAAAAACAGTGAACCAGAAATTTCGTAGCTTGTGACTAGAAAACGACTTTTTCAGACAAACAAGAAACTTTTTAACATCACGTTCTTTTCAGATTAGCTTTCAAACTTACAGCAAAAATCAAATCGATCACAAAAGGAACCAAAGAAGAAATCATGGTCAACGTCAACGATGTTTCTGCCTTAAACGATTTACTTGCGGATCGCAGATGTTTTTCATGAATAAAATGTGTCGGACCATAAAAATAGAGAAAAATGTTATGATGAAAGTGGCGGCCATACAGGTCAAAGAGATAGCAGCATGAACAACTTCATTTGTTGGCTGAAATGTTTCATTAAAATTTAATTTCTTCTATTAGAAGCCTTCCAAGTTGTCAACTTTGAGCTCAATTATCTCTATTCATGTGAAAGATAAAAAAAGCCCATACTATCAAAAATATTTTATCAGTTGAAAACTTTCTGATATCTGTCACAGGAATCGAGATAATTGCGCTTGAAGTACATATTAGAGGAAATACGGTAGCTCACATTCAGTCACTCACTCCATGCATATCAATTGTGATCCCTACGGCACCAAACTCAAACGGAGGCGCCAGTTGTGAACAAAAACCGTATTCTGGTATCATATAACTGGTTAGAGCAACAGATACAACTAGAGATAATGGGGTGCACATATACAGAATAGTTTTGTTCCATTCTGTGGTATCTTTTGGGAAGTAAATCATAATTGCACGAATCGTGCAGAAGATAACTGGTTGGATCCGCGATAGGTAGTTGGATACGTAAACAATCATGTAGAGGGATTTTAAGAAATGATTGGGCTGGCTGCTGGCACACCAGTTGGTGACGTATCCAGTGCTTGGTAGACGAAAAACCAATATATCAGTGAAGGAGTCCGCGAAATTCTTAATTATAAAATTATTTCAAAATCTACAGTATTAGATATCATCGCTGTCTAAGAAAAGGAATATTGAGAGCAATTATATCGTTGAATTAATTTCAAAGGAACAAGAGCGAACAACCTCTCTTGAGTCTATTTCGAAATTTATTTTCTCTATTTTTTTTTACAAATTTTCGACAATTGTCATCATCCGAGATACCCACTCTGAACCTATTTTTCAGACTGCGATAATCTCCAACAGCGTAGTTTTAGTTGATTTTTGGCCATTTTAACCATTTTCAGGTGGCTAGAGCACTGCTGTCAAGTTTTGGGACTGTAGTAAACGCTACTCACCGCTGCCTCCACCAGAAGAAACGACGCAAATAGTTGGTATTTGGGCAACATTCATTCTCAAATTCTTTCTTTCAACTTTTTTGATCATTTTATACATAATGACAATAGTTGGTATGAAATAAATTGGCACCAAACCGATGCTCAATTTGGCAAGATTCAAGGGTAGAACCTCAAATTGATAGGATAAATATCGATCATCTCCATGGATACTGTGGAAGCGACCGGACATCATCGCTGTGAACGAGGAATAAATGAAAAGAAAGCGTTATTCTTTTCAAAAATAAAAATGCTCAGCAAGGCGAAAAAATTTTTCCGTATGGTCACGTTTTTTTTATCTAGACCATAGCTTCTAAGAGTTCAAGAAACAAACTTCTGAAAATCGTGGAAGTATAACTTCCGCTTTGGTGGCGTTTCTCAGTCAATACTTTCCCACCCGTTTGTCGAAGTTGGCTTCTTGGACTTATAATGTATGGGAAAAAACGCCATGACGCGGTGTCACAAGGAATATGCTAAAATTATTTTCAAGGACAAAAAAGACCAATGAGATCAAACTATGAAGGAGTTTGTGAGGAATTGAGTAACACGGCGTGAAAATAGTTTTTAAAAAAGTCAATTACCGTAAAATATGTATTAATATTGCATGCAAGTCTATTGTTCAAGTCACCTCAAGGGATGCAACTCTATTAGAGGGGCAATTCAAATAGAGGCTGTAATTCTATTTTTCAAACTACAATTTTAGGTTAAAATTTTGAAAAAAAAACAGTTTTATTATGAAAATCAACAAAAAAAGTAACAAATTGAACAAAAAGAAAAGTATTGCATATTTTAAAAAATCAAAAATCGAGGCGTCACTGTCATAGTTATTGTCTTCTTCTTCGGCATGGTTCACTTCTCCATCGTCTTCCTCAATTTCAATATCTCCCAAAATCTCCTGAATTTCTTCCATTTCTCGTTCTGCTCGTCTTGTCTTCAATAACTGTACGCCTTCTGGAATTTCTCCATCTTTCTTGAAACAATGAATTGCCTCATCATCTTCGCCCATTTCACCACCGTAAGCTTGTAATCCAAGGTGTGTGCTCCACGCTTTCTTTTTCTAGAGTTTTCACCATTTTTTTTCCACGTCTTCCACGTTATCCACGTTTTCCACGTGTTCCACGTGTTCCACGTCATCCAATTTTATCCCGTCGAACACGTTTTCCACGTCTTCTAGGTTTTCTTCAGAACTCATTGCTCGTTTTGCTCGCTTCAATAAATGAAAAATATTGTTAGAAAACAAAGAAAAATAAACATAAACCAGAAATTAGGTAGGTAGTTAAAAAAAGGAATGAAATTCGAAAAACAACTGTGCAATAGTTCGTCACGGTGTCACAGACTAAAAATTGTACAGAACTCCCGGCGGAGCCGCAACACTACTGCAGATGCAATTGTATTACGGGGGCAATTCAATTAAACGCTGCAAGTCTATTTTTCAAGTACCCTCAAGGGGTGCAAGTCTATTAGAGGGGCAATTCAAATAGAGGCGCAATATTAATACAGATTTTACGGTAGTCAAGAAAAAATTTTGTACTTTCGAATGCGGTAAAAGGATCTATTCTGTATGTGACTCCAGTTTTTAGAGCCAGTTTTTTGAGTGTATCTCTCAGAATGTGTATCTCAAAATGTGTACTACAAAGATGGAAGAATCAAAGACGAACTTGCGGTATACTAGGTACATTTTCCTCGGATCGGAGCATTCGTGGGCGATAAGCCAGAAGCAAAGCAAGAAGTCATGTTTCGAAACTAAAACTGAAGTTCAAAAAATAGTTTGATTCACAATTCCCAGATTTATTTTTGTTTTTTGCAATCTTTCTCTTAACCATCCTTTTTTTTAATGTGCATTTTACTTCAAATCTTTTAAACTCTTGCAAAATCAAATAATTGGGGTCATTAACAGAAAGACTAATACAAATGTTGAGAGAGACACGAAAGAGAGTGTACACAAACTTTTGCCGCAGATACACACAGAGACACACGGTTATCATCGGCCGCCATCACTCTCTTCCCTCGACGCGTTCGTGGTGTAATGGTCAGCATGGATGCCTTCCAAGCATTCGACGGGGGTTCGATTCCCCCCGAACGCATATTTATTTTTTTTTTGCATTGTAGATGCAATTTCGAGACAAACGAAATGAAAGAAAGAAAATGTTAGACTTTTAAATTGCATTGTTGATGATTTTCTGTTACTAATGGCTCAGAATAGTTATTTTCAACGTAAAATTCAAAATTACATGAATATGAAACCATGATTCAGTGGGTGTCTCTTTTAGAAACTTTATGACATGTTCTTGGAAGAGCTCTGAAAATTTTGGATTTTTTCTTCTAAATGTGTAATCGTTGAGTAACTTTTTTGTCTATTCTGAGAAGGACAATCCCACTCCAAATAGAAGTTGACCATGGCGGTGCAGTTCGTCTTGTCGGTTGTTACAGTCATTTTTGTTTCAAATTTGTGGTAACTTCCGTTAATTTTTGTCTTTCTTTCATATATTTTTGTTTAGTTGAAAATCGTTAACTCTTACATTGAAGCCATTTCTCTAATAAAATTCCATAAAAGTGAAAGAAGTTGAAAAACATAGGTCAATGTTCTTCCATTATAGAAAATATATTTTCCTTGAATCTCACAGAAGATTTTCAGAGCTTTTCGAAGTTACGGTATGCATTGTGACGTTGTGATGTTTGACATTCGTTTAATCTTCCACCTCACCACTCTTCTTCACTCTTCTTTAACAAAATTTCTCCCTGATTGATTATCGATTTCCCCTGGCAGTTAATTATCTTGCTGATTCACTAGTACAATTGCAGAGTCTCATCAGACTTTTTCAGTTGTACCAATAAAAAAGGCGGAGCCTATATTTTTAGTTCCTGGTTACTAGAAAATTTGGCTATAAATTGGGTGTGGTTGGAAGAAAAAATTAGTTCCGCTTCTCATTTACCGCTGCGTTTGCCCGCTAGCTTTTTTTTCCTTGGTCCCGTGTCATCGAACCATTTTCATTTCATTCCAGATTCATTCTCACCTGTCTCATTTCACAAACATATTGTCGTAGTTTCTGCAAGATGCAAGTAAGTTAATTTCTCATATTTCACATAAAACGATTGTTGGAAATTTAATTGGAATGCTTTCAGACAATGTCTTCGTTTTTTGGATGGCTCTTCTGCAGCAAAGACTCATCGATGGAGATTTTGAGAAACGATCGTCAATTCGAACCAGTCAGGATTTTGAAAACAGGACCTCACTACAAAGAAATTCTTTGCAATGCAAATGGCAATTTAGAAGTAGCCATCGCAAAGGTTTTCCGCGGCAATGCAGGGATGAGGGAGTATGCGAAGGAGTTTGAGCTTCTAACTGATTTGAAACACACTAATATTGTCGAAATTCTCTCGAAAAACACTCTCGATGGCTTTCATATTCTGGTGTTTCGCAATTTGATGAAAATTTCCGGAAGGATCGAGATGCGCATTTTATTTCCTCCAGGATCTGTGCAAAGTCTCTTCAAGGACCTGCTCACTGGGTTGAATTTTCTTCATGAACAGAAGATTGCTCATCGCGACATTTGTCCGGAGAATCTTTTGTACACCGAGGATGGTCAGTGAGCAAATTTAATTTTGACCAAAAAAAACAGTCACAGTTTCAGGCGTCCTCAAAATTGCCGGTCTCTCAAATATCGCTATTATTCGAGACAACATTAAGCAGATACAATTGAAAGGGTTTATTCGAAGCGGGATGTACTCTGCACCAGAGTGCTTCAAACCAGCTCCGTATTCGGGCGTTGAAGCAGACATATACTCTGCGGGATTAACTTTATATGCTATGCTTGTACTCTACAACCCGTAAGTGTTTAATCAAGTTACTATAAAAATTTTGTAGAATTTGCCCCCTTCCTCCCTCCTTCTCTGAAACTCAATTTCCTTTTTTTTCACTTTTATAATTTTTAGAATTTCTGAATTTCTGAATGTCTGAATTTCTGAATTTCTGAATTTCTGAATTTCTGAATTTCCGAAATTCGGTAGTCGCAGAAATTTGCAGTTTTAGGAAAATGAGATTTTTGCAAAGCTGTACGTTGGTAAATTGTAGAAGCCTCGGTTTCGATGTAGTGTAGGGGTACTGTAGTTCTAAGCTGAAACTATGATCGATGAGAAAATATTTACAGATTGTCAACCGAGCAACCATTGCACAAGAGAGTCATTGAGATTATCAATGAAACAGGAAAAATCGACAAACTCGCGACAAGTAAAAGCTTGAGAACTGATAAACGATTATAGCATCCTTCATTTTCAGACCTTCTCGTCGATATGTTAATGGCTCTACCAAACAAAAGGACCAGCATCCCACGCTACTTGCAATATCCGTTTTTCACAACTACAATAGAGTCAGCAATGCCAGAGCTCTTACAGAAGAAAAGAAAACAGTGGATTTGACTTTCAAAGGTGCTTTCAAGTTTGAATCCACGATGTTCTTCTCTTCTCCAAGAGTTCTGACATTGCTGACTCTACTGGAGTCAAGCTCTCTTTGCTTCCGGAAATTTATTTACCCTAATTTTTGTTTCTCCATTGTTATGTTGTCTCAATTTTCTAATTTTTATAATCATTTGTGATCTAGTAAGCCTTTTTTTGCCTCGAATTTTTTCGTCTTTTTTATTCCCAATTTTCAGTTTCTAAAACTTTCGAAAGTTTCTTTTCCTATCGCCTCAATGTTCTCTTATGCTGAAACTCGTACAGCCAATCAAATCGCACATTTCAAATCTCAAATTGTATATCTTATATCTCAAAAGCTTCTGCTCCCTTAATTGTAATAAAAATAGATATTTTAATAACGGTAGAATCACAACCCCGACTTAATTCCAATGATTCATCTCTCTTATTTTTCCCAAAAATCATTATTTTATCACTTGCACTTTTTAATGTTCACTCGAAAAACGTTTTTCAAACGTTTCTGTTTAAAACAATCATTCTATCTGTCTTAATTTTTAAATCATAATCAAATCATTTTCAAATCATCCGAAGCTATTTTTAAAAAAATTAAAGGTGAGAAAAAATTTAGAGGTCCAATATTTGAGAGCTCACATATGTTGGAATAATGAAGCAGCATTTGAACTGTGTAAGAAAAAGGTACCGAAATAAATTTTCTCTAAAAAATCTACAATATTTCTATCTGCCGGTTTTTTAAGATTTTTATGTCTATAGTTTGAATTGAATTTTAATTTTCTCATTTTTCTCACATCTTATCTTTCTCCGTGCAGCATGCCACCTTATTTGGACACTCATTAAAATGAGTCATGCCAGTGGAAAAAGTTGAAATCTACGAATTTGTGGATTTCAAAGATAGGAATTCAGAATTCGACCGAGAGATTAAACCAACTTTAAAAGATTAGGCTATTTTGGAACAAAAAAAAGCTTCAGAGACACGGTAGGCGGGTATGGATAAAAATATTGATAAAATACAAAGGCTTTGGATGAGTCTATCAAAATGAACACATTCAATTCATACATTTATTTTTGACATCACTCTTTTTCCATCTAGTACATACTCCACAGGCGTCCTACTTACTCTTGTCTCTTCAGCTTCAGTCAACCACTTTTTGATATCTCTCACAGAAAATGATATACATGGGCTCAAATTTGCGACTCGGGTAGCGTTCTATTAGATTGTGTACGGTATATCTCAAAATATTATTAGGTTGAGCGAAAAGTCTTTGTAATTTTTAGTCTTTTTTTTTGAAACAAAATTTATTCAAAGAAAGCGAAATTCAACGTGTGATATATTCACCAAAATCATCAATGACTTCTTGCCAACGCAATGGAAATTGAGCGATTCCATTACCATAGAACTCGGGAGAATGGGAAGCGAAAACGTCGTCCAACCACTTTTTAACATCCTTTCTATCATGGAACTTCTGTCTACCAAGAAGATTCTGCAGGGAACGGAACAAAACATATTCGGATAGAGTCAGGTCTAGTAAATACGGTGAATGACAAGAGACATTGGCTCCGAGCATCTGGAGCTTCCGACGGGTCTTCAAAGGTGTGGGTGGTCTTAGGTTGTCATGAATCATCAACAAGCTGAAATTTTTCGGGCAATTTGATTGATAACGCTGCAACACTTTTTCCATTTGAGTGCAGTCGAGGTCCGGATTGATAGTAACACCGCCTAGAAGAAGTCTTCTGAAGATAACGCCTTCACTGTCTCACCAAATGGGCAAAATAACTTTTTCTCGTGAAGTTCTCCTTTGGTGTCCGTTTAGGCGGTTTTCTCGGCTGGGACCCATCGTCTTTTTTTACTCGTCACCAGTGATAATATTCTCAACCCAATTGGTTCCACGTTTCATAGTAAGCCGAGAATGTGCCATGTCGCAAAGCAATGGTCTTGTGAATCGGTCAAAAGGTGACGAGCGAGTTGACCAAACTTTCGCACTCTTCCAGATTCATGAAGATGATCAATTAGGATTTTTTGAGAACGGTTATGAGCTGGTGTGAGCTCGCGTAACGTTACTCTTGGTTGTTCTTCTAGCGCGCTAGGGATATCCTCGTTGAGATCAACACGTGGTCGACCAGATCTTCGAGATCGTAGTTCTCTTCGGAGAAACTTTTGAACCAAAATTTTATTATAGTGTAGTACATAAAATTATCGCCTAACACTGCACACAATTTACGGCAAGCTAAGCTGCCCTCGTGACCTTGGAGAAACTGGTATGAAAAAGCAACCCTGAGAGCATGGTGGTCTCTGAGCAAATTCTCGGTCATAATGAACGCCGTCGTTAATTTTAACAAATTTTTTGAACATGCACAATTAATACTACAACATAGAAAAAACAGAATAATAAAAAGTTAAACCGACGCTGAGATATGACAGTCCAAAAAAAATTACAAAGACTTTTCGCTCAACCTAATAGAATGCCTTTTGTATGGAAAACGCTGACCGACGAAGAAGAAAAGAGATTATTAGTTGCTATGGCCTTAGATGGAGTAGCTCCGCCTCCAAGAAGAAGGTGACTATCAAAATTGAGTAAGGGCTGAAAATAGGGCTCCCATGTTTCTCCTCGTTTTGAAACTCCAAAACAACTTTCAAAGTTACTTGTACCAAAAATCTAAAAAATAAGTTATCTGTAAATCAGTTGCTTATACTCCTCTCCTTATTTCAGCCCCTCTCCAAGGACGTTTTTTGCAAATGTACTCAAAACTGTGGCCAGCTCTTCTCAAGCTCCAACAGTCGCAAATCAAGCTCCGAAGGTTCCAAATCAAGCTCCGACGGTTCCAAATATTGAGAACCAGCTTGATCAATTGAGGTCCGGAGCACCGATAAATCATGGACACCTTTTTTATTGCCATCTGTGAGTATAAAGCGTGTAAAAACACAATGTTCAAATTGATCAGAAACTTCACATCTTCAGACAGTTTAAAATGGTCGGAATGGCCGAAAATTGTTTCAAAGTTTTTTTTGTTCATCTCATAAACCGGCACTGTGTATCCCACAACTTTATTTTCCCAGAAACAATGTGGCAATGCTTCCACATCTGAGCAATCCTCAGCCTCAAGTTGCTCCGCCAGCTCACAATTTTCCACCAAGACCAGTTTCAAGCTGTGGACTTCGGCAAGTTCCAATCTCTGGCATCTAGCCAACAAATATGAATTTGCTCCTCTCGACACTGTGAGTTCATGTAGAATAAGTTTTGTACCTACGAATTTTTTTCCAGAAATAAGCAATTCGGTAAGAAACAGGCTAAAAAAACACTTACAGGCCCGCAGAGAACGCCAAGTGCACCTCACCTCAAAAAAACAAAGCGTGATACTGAAGTTTGTGATTCCAAAACTACAGTTTTTTTTATACTTGCAAAAATCGTTGAAGGCCCGGGCCGGGCCATGAAAAATTTTGGAGGCCCAGCCCTGCCCGGAAAGCCCGAACAGGTATTTTTTTGGTCGCAATTTCTAAAAAAAAATTTTTTGACAAATTTTTGAGAATTTTTAAAAAAAAAAACTAGTTTTTGAGAAATAACTGTTATTTTGCTTTAAAAGTGCAATTTTTTTTTGATCTCAACGTTCGAAAAATGCAGGGAAAAATATTTTTTTCAAAAATTTGTTTGAACATTTACAAATTCAATATTCACAATTTAGCTTAAAATTAGATGATAAAAACAACCTTTTTCCAAAATAAAAACTCACTTTTTTGACTAAAAATCGAAGATAGCGCCAACTGGCCGGGCCATCCGGGCCTCCCGGGCCGGGCCTTCCGGACCGGACCTTGACCAATATTTTGAAGGCCCGGCCCGTTGCAAGTATGGTTTTTTTCAAAAAAAAAGAGCTAGAACTGAAAAAGATGTGCCCATTAAATTGTTTCATCCATACGCCACATCAACAAAAAAAATAATACACAAAAGAACCATTTTTCGCATTTTTGGCATAAAATTCATAATGAAACATATATTGATAACTTTATTTTTTGATTTACTCTTATATATTATGTATCCAGTAACCTTAATAAACCTATTACATCTTTCAGTCGTGTCCCTATTCCTGGTTACAGTATGTCCGACCAAAAAAAAAACAACTAAACCTATTTTTTTGTTTTATGAAATAAGGGTATTTCTTTTTTTTTTGAACGGACCTTTTTTCCAACTAAAAAGTAGTTTTTTCTAAAAACATTAAGCGTTGTACACCGTGACGGTAGAATGCATACCCTAGCTACAAAATCCTACGAAAAATCTCCTGTCCCCCCACCTTTAAGAAGATTGTTACTCTTCCTCGTCTGAAATTGTGCTACATCATGTCACATTTCCCATCACTTCTTATCTATTTCCGATACGTCGTTCACCTATACTTTGTTGATTCTTGTGACAACGCTATGATAATCGTCTTTAACTTCCTCTTTTCAATTTGTAGTTTGGAGCAGAATGGTAAAAAGTACAACAGCTTAGTGTAGCATTTTAAGGAAGTGATCATTTTTGAAGCAAAAGAGTTCATTAAGAAATTTTAACAATTACAATCGGCAGTGTACCCCAATCACATTGCTCTGTCTGAATATACAGTATAGGTCATAAGATATACAAAAACGTATTTACCAAGTATTTTTTGGTTATTTGGGACATTTTTAGGAGTCTGGAGCTCCGCTGTCAAGTTCCCGGTCACTAGAAAAATCACGAAGGGCTTAAAACAGACCTAGATTGAAAACTTTACATTTAAAGAATTTTAGAAAAATCGTAGTTTCTCAGTTTTTTGCCGATTTCTAAAAGACGCCTCTTTTTGGCCCATTCTAATACCGAAAACGTGAAAAAACACATGTCTTTCAGAAATTGGACTTTATAAAAATTTCGAAATGAAAATCATGAGCTGGGAGACAAGCCTTCAAAAAAAAGCTGTAATTACTGATTGCCTCACTGATTAAAAGGCAATATCATCTAAGGTCATCTGTGATCTTCCGAGAGTCTACAGATACTTTGAAAATGCACAGACTGGTTGAATTCTAAGACAGGTTTAAAACAATCGCCTTTTGGAAGACTAAAATTTTCAATTTTAAAAATGCCCCAATTGAAAAGAAACCGAATGTCGGTGATACTAGCTCTGATTAGATCGAAGAACTTTCCAGTTGCATTGACACGTCTTTTATCATCAAAACTTGCACGCCTATACGAAACATCATGAAACCGGAAGTACAATACCAATATACACAATTGATAAGATTGATAAGGGCGGGGCTTTAATACTATATAAACATTCAGTTAGAAAATTTGAAGTATCATATTCAGTTTTGCTTCCCTCTTCCTTTTCATTTGATTTTTGATAAAATGAAAACCCTAATTCTTCTATTTCTACTATTGTGCTTAAGTTATGCCACCCATAGATCTCTGAAATGCTACTATTATGATGAGCTCACCAAAGAGAAATTTATCGAGCACGGACGGACTGAATGCTATGCCAGATACGATTTCAGTATGAAAAACGCATATTTTGGTGGAACCAGAAGACAGTATGTGCCTAATAAACACAGAAACTCAACTGAACACTGTGCGGATTTTGTGAGTCTTGTATTTTTCGATTGAATGAATTCGTTTCTTTTTCAGATAGATATCCACATCAACGGTACAGCTAGGCCAGTGTACATATGTTACTGTTTTGAGGATTACTGTAATTTCCCATTCACATTCAACGAGTTTGTCGCCAGGGGACGTACACTGCAGCCTTTTTACGACGATTGACATTTTAATGTTATTTGATCTCAAATATAGGCAGAGTATAAATAAAGATTTTATAATTTTTTGTTTCGTTTGTATGCATCAAAAAGGATAGTTTTCAATCGTCACAATCTTAGTACAAAACTTAATATTTTCTTTGTTGCTGTTAAAAAACTCGAATTATCGAATTAGTAACGCATCTTTTATAATCTGTAAAATTGTTCTTTTCCAATTTTAAGTTTGTGGACAGACGTCATTTTTGAATCTATGATTTATTGGAAACCAATGAGTAAAAAGAACAAGAACTTTATACATCACTGACCGTCACCCCGACTTACCGATAAGAAATTTGATAAAACCTAGTTGGCAAACATCAGGATCCTTTAGTACGTTTCGTACTAGCTGAATTTTAACAAAGTATTTATTCATGCGATGTTGCTTGGTCCGAACAATGATGTGTGGGGACGTAAAAAAATCCCTACATTTTGTTCAAATAGTCCCCTGGAGGAGCTGAACGAGGGAACACAGTACTCCGTCAATGCATATCGTACCTCTAAAAAAACGCAGAAAATTTTCTTGTGGTTTCCTTCAGTAAGTTTTTCAATGAGACTGTATCATTTCATGTTCTTTTTATATTAAAATAAGTTCCACACACATCAACCACAGTTTCTTTAATTTTTAGTAGCGATATCAATTTTTCGTTATCATATTGCATTTCTTGGAACTGTGATGTCTTTGGTGGAAGACGAGCCATAAAATACATAATGTTTGTTCTGAAAGAACATGTGTCTACATGTTGTAAATTCGAGTAAGACACAATACTGGTCAACCAGACATACAAAAACGTATTTTTGAGTTGTTTTTGGTCATTTTCAGGAGTCTGAAACTCGGTTGTCCAGTGTCCAATCACTTTGAAAACGTTGGAAGGTGTGAAACACGCCTTGTTTGGAAACTTTGCATTCACAGGATTTTTTGAAAATCTCTAGTTTTTCAGTTATTTGCCGACTTCTTGAAGAAATTCCTTTTTGACCTGTTTTGTGGTGGAAACGTGAAAAGAACATGCGTCTTTTTAGGAGAAATCGGAAAATATCTGAAAAACTGAAAAAAAAACACGCTTTTGTATATTTTATAGACCGATATCGCATGGTTTTTCTTTGGATAAGGTTGCTTGTTGGTTTCCGTGGTTTCAGTTTACAGATGAATTGTTTCCCTATTGGCTGAATTCAGACATCCCGAAATTTTGAAGATTCAGGTTGCTCAGCCATTTAATAACATATTACGGTGAAAATTTCGATCACATTTCCTCACAAGACATAGCGGGAAAAGGGCAGATAAAGAGAAACGAAGCAAATGCATCTCTCCTTCCACCTTTCTAATCACAAGGTGGAATGGGACGCAGAGGAAATTCTTTATTCGTGTGTTTGGTCTCTTTTAATCTCCAACGAGTGCATGTTAATCCCTAAACTCTAATCCCAATCGAATTTCATTCTTTTTGTTATACACCTGTTTCTCATTCTGTGCGCGCATTCTGTTCCTCTTCGAGATTTTTCACCAAAACCTAAAATTACGAAAATTGAATTCAGGTATGTTTTCAGATGTTTTTATAAAGGATTGTGTTCAATTTTGAGGCTATTCCGATGAATGGCAACATCAGCCTGGATGAAGACTTGCAGATAGATGACGGTGTTCAGAAAAATGACGTCATCACTCTAGATGATGAGCCTTACACTGTTCCACCGGAGGAAAAAGAAATAGATCGGACTCCGGTGAGTACGGGGCATTGTTAAAAATTGTATCGAGCCGGAATTTCAACAAACTGTGGTCCGCATATCAAAAGGCTCGCAGTTTATTGCCTATGAAAGAAAATGTATTTGCTCTTAGATATGAACTAAGCCAGTCCATATTTTCAGACCCCTGTGCCGCCAGAACTCAAGAATATTTTGAAAAACTATGATACTCTTCAAGACGTGGTGAACGATGAACAGATGTCTCGATGGCTTGATGGGGAATTCCGATTCTATCAGTTTTTTCATCCGTGTAGACAAGAAAGAATCACAAATTTTCCCCTCAAAATATCCCCACATTTGGTAAGCAACTCAGTTTCATTATATCATTAACATTTTTCAAATTTCAGATAATCGAATATTTCGAAATGAAGCGGAAGCAGGTTTTTGAAAACGAAGCAGCACCGTATGGCCACAGGGGCCAACTTTTTGCTCTCTATAATCTATTTCAAAATGAGCCCAACATCGACAACGTTGACCTCGGAAGTTTTGAGAAAAGCCATAAAACATCAAAGGGCCATGTCAGTTGATCTAAAATATTGTTTATGAAAAGTTTTTTTTTTAGGTTAAAGAGTACTACAAATGGAGGAAACAGAGGGAAGAGGAAAATAGCGTGAGAGCAACAGAGAAATAAAAAAGAAACGAAAGTTCAAGAAGAACCAAGAATAATAAGAAGATAAAAGAGAGGTTAAGCAAGAGCCATTAAATTGAATAAGCAGGTATGAATTCTACATTTTTATTGAATGTTTTTGAAGACTATTAATTTTTAAGAGATTATTTTCAGATGTGCTCACCTCGGCTCTTTTCTAGTTTAGAGGTCCCAAAAAAGAATAGAGGTCCCAAAAAAGAATAGAGGTCCCAAAAAAGAATAGAGGTCCCAAAAAAGAATAGAGGTCCCAAAAAAGAATAGAGGTCCGAAAAAAAATTAGAGGTCCCAAAATAAAATAGAGGTCCCAAAAAAGTTTAGTGGTCCCAAGAAAAAATAGTGGTCCAAAACTTAAAAATGCACAGATACCGGAATAATGTACTAATATTTGAATTGTGTAAGAATTTAAAGTTTTGAGGTCTTATAGCAAAATAATTGTTGATGATATATTTTATACTTCTAATAGGCTTAGGAATGCATATTTTCTGACAGTTATCTAAGCCTGAGAAACAGCATAATCACGGAGTGATTACTGTATTGCCCAAATTTTCCTCATATGTAAATTGGGTTCATCGGCAAGATGCGAGAGAATTAGAGCTAAAATTGTTAGGAGTAGTCATGTCATCCTATAAGACCTTAAAACTCAAACTACTCGCACAGTTCAAATACTAGTACATTATTCCAACATCTGCGCGTTTTTCGTATTTTGGACCTCTATTTTTTCTTGGGACCTCTAAACTTTTTTGGGACCTCTAATTTTTTTTGGGACCTCTATTTTATTTTGGGACCTCTAATTTTTTTTCGGACCTCTAATTTTTTTTCGGACCTCTAAATTTTTTTGGGACCTCTAAACTAGAAAAGAGCCCTCACCTCTCGAAACGTATTGACAAGATCTCTTTTACCTATTTTTCAAAATTTTATTTTTCTCCCAAATATTACATCTTCACCAATTTATTGTTTTAATATAGATTGATTTTAGTGTATTCATTTTACATCACCTAGCCTCTCCGCCCCCCCCCCCCCCCAGATATTTTTGAAAATAACCTCTCTGAAAATAAGCCTGCTTATTTCTGTTCACCTCTGTTTTAATCTCACCTCGAACTTTTATTTTGCATCGATTCAAATTGAATATGCCACTTTTTCAACACCTCACTAATCTACTTTGCAGTTGTAATCTTTTGGAAGCCGTATAAGTGTTTTGAAGCAATCTCAATAAACTTTGTCAAAAAATATCGATGAAACAGAACAAGAACAGCAAAATACATAGAAATGAACTTCATGAGTTAATCTTTAGATGCGGAAAAGGCTGTTTGAGAATCTTGATGTGTGATAATTCATCGTCAGGAAATGAATTATACACTGTATCATTTCTTGTTCTTTTTCTATTAAAATATGTTCCACACATCAATCACAGTTGCTCCAATTATTAGTTGTGATATCATTTTTCGTTATCATATTGTACTTCTTGGAACTTTGATGTCTCTGGTGGTAGACGAGCCATAAAAAAGACAATGATTGTTTTGATTTACAAAGAGGAAAATAGATTGAGTGGTATTCATGAAAGATTGATAAAAGAAAGCATTTTCCTTCAGATTTACAGTGACTTTTCTTTTTTCACGTCACTGATACTTTCTTTTTCTTTTTGATTTTTCAGTGATAATTTTTTGTAAATATTTACACCTGTAAATCGATTTACAAAAAAATGAATTCCCAGTATTCACAAAAGGATTTACTCGAAGTAAATATTTTCCCTTGTAATCTATATTGAAATATTGTTTTTAACAGTAATTGACAAAAATATGGCAGAGTTGACAAAAGCCATTACTTAACTTTATGTTAAAAATAGATATCTAAATCATTGGCGAAGCTAGACCTTTATTTGACAATTAACTTTTTTTTTGCTTATTAGCATCCGTTCTCTTTGGGAACAATAATAAGTTGTTACATTGACTCAAGGCCAGTTATAGGTCACCTCTAGAAATGGTCCGTAAAATGAAAAATTGAGATTATTAATTTTTGCCAAACATAAAAATAAAAAACGGAAACGGTCTAGAAATTGTCAGAAAAATTCTACTTTTGTCATTTCATTAATTTTTGAAGTGATTTTTTGGGGACGTGCAACTTTTTAGACTTTTTTTTCATTTTTTTAAATCTAGAAATGTTGGGTGCCTTCATAACATTCTCCGTTTCATCATAATTCAAAATTTTAGTTTCAATATTTCAACTTTATTATAATGAGTTTCATCCAAACAGTAAGGAAACTCTTATTTTCCTATCCCCAACTTTGGTAAATAAAATCAAGTGAGTAAATCATTTACCAATAGGAAAATAATTTTCATGAATACCAATCACATTATTTTCCAATGTGTAAAGCGATTTTCCCATTAAAATTTTTAAAAAGTAAACGTTATATTTTCTTTTTGTGAATATTTTCCTTGGTAAATGCATTTACCTAGGTAAATGTTTATGAATACGGCCTCTGGAAAGTGTCAAACAGACCTAGATTTAAAAATTTGAATTCACAGAACTTTTCAAAAATTCTTATTTGTTCAGCTATTTGCTGATATCTGAAAGACACCTCGTTTCGGCATGATTTTTATTAAAAACATGAAGAAGCAGGTGCTTCTCAGAAATCGGAAAATAGCTGGAAAACTAGAATTTTTCGAAAAAATTAAATGAAATCAAAGTTTTTCATCTTGGTCTGATTTATACCCTCCAAAATTTTAAAGTCCGTTTTCCTATAGGCAGAATTCAGACTTCACGTCTACGATCTCAACCATTCATGTTGCTCAACCATGTAATAACATCTTACGGTGATGATTTCGAATATGCTTCCTCACATGACATAGCTGAAAAGAGCGGATAATGAGAAAGACAGCATATGTACCTTTCATTCCACCTTTCTAATCACATGGTGGATAAGAACGCATGGGAAATTCTCTTTTCGTGGGAGTGGTCTCTTTTCAACCTCCAACGAGTGCATGTTAATCTCCAAACTCTAATCCCAATCGAATTTCACGCTTTTTGTTATACACCTGTTTCCCATTCTATCCGTTTTGACTGGATTTTTTTCTTCGAGATTTTTCTTCAAGAACTAATCTTTCGAAAATTAAATTGAAGTAGGTTTTCGGAGACGTTTTAAAAATATTCTGTTCACTTTTCAGATGGAGAGGGTCCGCCCTTGGGTTGAAGCTATCCCGCTAAATGGCAACATCAGTTTGGATGAAGATTTCCAGATAGATGACGATGTTCAGAAAAATTACGTTATCACTCTAGACGATGAGCCGTACACTGCTCCACCGGAAGAAAAAGAAATAGATCGGACTCCGGTGAGTACCGGGACATAGTGTTTTTAAAAGTATTTTTTTTAAACGTGTTCATTTCAAGAAAAAACTGAAAACTGGTCCAGCTAGAAACAGGCTCACACTGACAGTGACCCAAAATACAGTACCGGTCAATAATATATACAAAAACATTATTTTTAGTAGATGATTGGTCGCTTTGACCATGTTCAGCACTCTGGAGCTCGGCTTTCCAGTTTTCTATAACCCTGAAAATTGCGGAGGGTGTACAACAGACGTGGATTGATAACTTTGTAATCACGGAATTTTTGAAAATTCCTAGTTTTTCAGATTTTCGCCGACTTCTGAAACACACCTCTTTTCAGGTTTTCAGTATAAAAGTGACATGTCTTTCAGAAATTGGGAAATAACTGGAAAGCTAGGATTTTTTGAATTTGTGAATGAATAGTTTTCAATCTAGGTCTGTTTTACTCGCTCCAACATTTTCAATATGATCGAAAAATCGACAAGCTCCAAACTCCTGAAAACGGTCACAATAAACTGAAAACACATCATTTGTATATTTTGTAGACTGGTAATGTATGTCCTTATTTTCAGAGCCCCGTGCCACCAGAGTTAAAAAGCTTTCTGAAAAGTTATAAGACCTTGCAAGACGTTGTCGAAGATGAACAGATGTCTCGATGGCTGAATCAGGAATTCAGAAACTATCAGTTTTTTCATCCAACCAGACAAGCAAACTTTGAAAGTTTTCCTCTCAAGATATCTCCACAATTGGTGAGCAAAATCAGTTTTCTTTTGCCTTTAACGTTAAAAAAAACCAACCCAGGTAGCCGAATATTTCGAAATGAAACGAAAGAAAATTCTTGAAACAAATAAGAATCCGTATGCGCTCAACAACCAACTTTATGCTCTCCATGAACTATATCAAACTGAATCCAACATCGAAAACGTGGATCTCGGAAATTTTGAGAAAAGTCAAAAAATATCAAAAGGCTATGTCAGTTGACCTAGGATATTGTTTATAAATAGTATTTTATTTTTCCAGATCAAGGAATACTACAAATGGAGAAAGCAGATGGAAGAGAAAAATAAAAAAGAAACAGAGGTTCCAGAAAAACCAGGAGAAGAAGAAAAATATGAAAGAGCGGTTAAGCAAGAGCCAATAAATTGAATAAGCGCGTATGAATTTTACTTTTTTATTGAAAAATGTTTAAAGACTATTTTCAGATGTGCTTCTCACTGAAAACGTATTGACAAAAAATCCGATCTACCTGCTCTTCCTAACACCACCATTCTCCAGCAAATCACATTCCCTAAATTATTTGTTTTATTCCGCAAGATTTTAGTATATCTATTTTAAATCGCCCATCCTTTACTTTTTACCTAAATATTTTTTTAAATTTACCTTTCTGAAACCAATCCTGCTTTTTTTCTCTTCACCTCTATAGTAATCTTACCTCGAACTTTTATTTTGCATCGATTCAAATTGAATATGCCACTTTTTCAACACCACACTGATCTACTTTGCAGTTGTAATCCTTTGGAAGCCGTATATGTGTTTTTAAGCAATCTCGATAAACTTTGTCAAAAAATATCGATGAAACAGAACAAGAACAGCAAAATACATAGAAATGAACTTCATGAGTTAATCTTTAGATGCGGAAAAGGCTGTTTGAGAATCTTGATGTGTGATAATTCATCGTCAGACCCGACGAGGATGGCAGAAATTCAGGTTGCTCAGCCATTTGATAACATATTACGTAATGCTTATCAATTTATCACCTTTTGAATAAAAAAAGTTTGAACGTCCACCACAAAAATGAACAAAGTTGTGGTCTCTCGAATGGTACCGACTCTAAACTCACAAAAAATCATAAAATGGCTCGCCATCTGAACAGATCTTTTTTGAATTAATTTATTGACCAGGTAATGAAGCAATAGAGGGCAGGACATGAAAGACTCAGAAAGAATGCCCCTCACGAGGCCGATCTGAGTAGGGGAGGGGAAACGGGATAATTAAGATATTTGACACAGGAACAATGAACCGGTATAAGAAGAGAAAAGAAAAAATAGGGAGAAAATAAATCAATAGCGGGTAATACTGGAAGAAATTAAGGATTCAAACTCGGAAGGTAGGAGAAATCGGGTAACTTGGGAAGTGATGGCGTTCCACAGGGGAACAATTGAAGAAAAATAGCCCGAGGAGTAGGGCTGAACAATAATTAAGTTCATAGGGCGACGAGGGGAGGAGGAGTATTTGACATGTGCATTAAGGTTAGGAAAGTAGGCGGAGCCATTTAAAAATTTATAGAGAAGAATTAGTTGAGCTTTTAGCCTACGATGTCGAATGGAGAACATATTGAGGATAGAGAGACGATCAGAATAGGAACTGTACTGGATATTACAACGGTGGAAAATACACTTAGAGAAAAATCTTAAGGGAGTTTCTAGTTTTAGAGCAAGGCGAGAAGAAGGCGGAGGGGAATAAACTACAGAACAATATTCAAGAATCGGGAGAACATAACATTTGAAAAGATGAATGTAGAATTCTGGAGACTTAGATCTAAATGACTTTAAGAGTTGTTTGGAGCGGAGAAGAGCTAGAGATGTGATTTTGTTGATGTGAGCAGAGAATTTGAGAGAGGAATCAGTAATGAGTCCCAAGTCTCGGACGGAGGAGGAGGGAGTAAGTGTGACACCCGCAATATTGAGAGGATGGGAAGAATTATGGGAACCTAGGCGAAGAAGGGCAGTTTTAGAGTGGGCAAGAGGGAGATGGTTGGCGGAAGCCCAATTTACAACCATGTTGATACCAGTTTGAAGGGCGATTGGGTCATGAGAATACAGTTTGATATCGTCAGCAAAGGCGGCAAGGTGAAGAGAGGGAATTTGTTCAAGTTCTAAGAGCAGATCATTGATGAATATGAGAAATAGTAAGGGACCGGAGACTGATCCTTGAGGAACACCAGAGGGAATGACAGAGGAAGGA